TGAAATTACATTCATGCAAGGATTATTTATTAATATTATCAATATAAAGTGTGTTCAATAAAGTACTGTAAGTTTAACCAGGATTCAGTATTCTTATTTGCGTGCCCGGATTATAAGTGGAAGAATGAAGAAGCCTTAGTCGGCATCCTGAAATATCAACATAACATAAGTAACCATACTACTGACATAACCCACAGCATAAGAAATAAGCTCCCACGCCATGTCAGAGTAGGTGTGTTACAATTAGGTATTTAATATTAATAATTGACATGAGACTATTTGTGTTGGTTCAAAATATCTTATTAAATGCTATTTCATTGTTCTCTCCAGTTTTAATTTGTTTCTCCTAAAGGAAATTTATATAAGTATGGCTAATTGGATACATCATGCTTGTGTGTATCCCTAGGTTTGAAAGTAATACATAACAAATATTGTCTACAAATGACGGAGGAGTGAACTTGGCAGAGCTATAATGGACCCCCCCCCCAAACTGGTGTAATTTTATTTACCACTCTGACCATTTGTGAACTGGCCCCTATTAGTTACCTTGCACAAGCAGCAGTTGGCTTGTTTATTTTAAAAGCAAAAGCTTCTAATTTCCAATGGGGAAAATAAAAGTAATGGTATTTTAATTTTCTGATCCGGACTGTTACTAGGAACAGAAATTTACCTTTGATGTCACAACACTGGCTTTTTTCTTGGAGTCATGTTTCTTTCACTGTACCCCCATAGTATAAATATAGAGATGGATAGACATTTGAATAGGCTGGGTGAGTGATGCAGGACAATGTCAACCTTATGCTTTAAGCCTCGTGGCCAAAGATATATATATGGTATAAGTTTCAAAACCTGCCCCTTTCAACTCCACATTCAATCAGTAACTGGAAAATAATGTTGTGACAGGAGATGACTTGGGTACTTCATTAACTAAATTTTTCCTATTTTATCCACTGAAATTCTAGGGTATTTAAGAGTGACTAACACAAAATTATTGTGTTTAACTTATTTTGCTATGCTGTTTTAACAATTAAAATTTATGACAAAAGTGCAAGACAGTCACTTCAAGATATCCATTAAAATTACACCTTTTAAAAAAACAATATGAGGAGCTAAATATTCACTCACCATTGTAAAATTAAGGGTTGCCACACCCATCTGTAACAGTCAGTGAAAATAAACTTATTTTGGGCAACAAGTCAAAAGTTACATTTTCATGTATTTTACTGTTCTGTGTTCCCCTTTGTACACATTTCTAAATAAATAAAACTATTTTATATCATAATAATAAGACTGAAAGACTTAACGGCTCACACTAAAGTAGTATTTAATTATGGGTGAATCACAATGAATTTTTCGACACATGCTATATGGAATCACATAATAAAAAATATATGCATACTGTCAACCTAAAATATTTGTTTAAGAACTTTTTCTGAACTTTCTCCTGAGGCGTATAACAGCAACTTTTAAAGCAGGCCATAACATAGAAATATTCTTCTTGTACCATTCTCTGAAACAAGAAGAAAATTAAAATAAATAAAGGCTAGTTACAGTTTACAAAATAAAAAAAAAGAAAAAAAAAAAAAAAAAAAGAAGAAAATTAAAAAAAAAAAAGGCTAATTAAAGTTTAAAAAAAAAAAAAAAAAAAAAAAAAAAATGAAGTAAATATATTAATTTTTGTTTGAATGACATTAAATTCTATATAGTGTTTACTATTACTATATTTTGTTGTTGTTGTTATCTTAAAAAACATTCACCTACTCATAAAGAAATCATTTAATATTTAAACATGAATGAAATAGCAGACCATGCATTTATTGCTGCAGTGCAAATGTCACATAAGTGAAAATGCCAGCAAAAGACTTGTATAGCACACAGCAGTACATGTAAGGGAATCAGCTGGATAGAGAGTCTAAGAAAAGCATTTACCAACAGTAGTTCTAATATATATATATTTATTAAGGGGCAGTAATTATTAAGTGTTGGAGATAAAAAAAAATTATACTTTGAAGCATAACACTGACTTATAATTCAAAAAGAAATACAAAATTTGATAACCAAGAAACAAGACAGAAAGAGGTGGAGGTGAGAAGACAGAAACAAGATGTGATAGCCAAGAAACAAAACAAAAAGAGGGATCGTTATAAGCATTGATCAGTAAAGAGAACAAACAAGCCATTCTACTTGTTATAATTAAGATGAGCTACTCGGTTCTCATTTAGAAAAGATCTGTAGAACACAGAAAGCTCTTCTGGTGACAGACTTGGTTTGCCATCTACATCTTTACTTTGGTGGCTTTGAATGTACTGATCTTTCTCCTAAAAAAAATATAAATAAAAAAAAAAAGTTAAATAACTGATGATGTAATTTAGAATTTTAATAGAATTATTTTACTCAGAGATAATCCTTGGAGGTCCATTCTAAAACAATAGAAACCTTTTATTCAATTTGTTAGTTGTTGTTTAAAAACACTGATATAATTAAATCACGTTAATCAATTTTACATTCTTTCTTTGTAAACAAAAACTTATATTAAAAAATGATTTTTACACCTCCCCACAATTGTAACTGTGATATTTGATGATTTTCCTCCCTGCCTTCTCTCTCCCAGTCTTCATTATCTCAACACCTCTACCTTCTCCCATTGCAATGCCCACTCATTTCCAGTCTTTACCCCACCCTCTCCTAAATTTTACTTTCTCAAGTTTATCCCCTTTACTGGCCTTATTTCAGAGTAATTTACTACTTAAAGAATATAATTAATTTTTTTAAGATGCAGTGCAAGCACTAATTGCAATATTAATGAACCCGTTAGTGAAAGCTCAGAATCTTCAGAAGAAAGAAACAACAACAAATAATCTCCTAAAATATCATCAATATACATAAAGCAATTTTCCTTTATATCATCTGAAAATTATATAATATTTTATTCAATATACTATACACAAGAGTCGATATATTTAGGAAAGAGAATTATAGATATGTATTACTAAATACATGAAATAATACATTTCCATCTGATAACATATCCAAAGTTACACATTTTTCTTATTTCAATTCTTCAGATATTCTTCAAAGTCCATTTAATGCAGATGTGATAATTTATTTTTACATATCCGGTGTGCAATTGTATTGAATGGAATGCCTTCTTGGATTCAAATATACCAACAGCAGCACAAACAGACTCACAATGTTACATAAATTTAATAGCTAAAATAAATGAAAATTCATCAAGTACATGCTAACCTTAAAAAACTTTGAATTATGGTGAGCCCAAAATGACTGGTTCCATTCCAAAACTTCTGCTCGCCTTAGTCGAAACATCTTCTCTGCAGTTGTTTCATTTGGAGGCACATAAAATTGTACAGGTCTAATATTTGATACAGTGTCTGGTGGTCCTATTAGGTCAGTGGTGCATCCGTCAGGTGGTTTTGGGGTTATTTTTAATTTCTGAGGCTAAGAAAGATACATATCTATCAGGTTATCAAGCAGTAATTATCAGTATATAAATCATTTCAATCTTCTAACATGTTGTTACCAAGTATATAATTTACAACACAATGAAAGAAGCCTGTTACGTACCATTATATAGTTTTGCAAATTTAATCTGTTTCAAGATTTGGCTCATGTGTTTAACAATAATTAACAAAGGGCTGAAAACTAGTGTTCAAAGAAAAATGATACCAAAACTAATGATACTAACAATATTCTTACAGCACAGCACAATTTAAAAAGTACAATCCTCAAAAGATAAAAATATTAAATTACACACATAAAGTGCACAATCTTGCAATTAAATAACGTCTCGCAAACATCTAAGAAAAATAACAAAAATCTGGGAAAGCTGTCACCTTATTCAGGGAAGTTGGAACCCTCCCAGAAAAGAAATTCTGGAAATTACATTACATTACCTGATAGCATTCTTTAAAGCGTATTTGAAACTTAAACAACCTTTTCTCAATCAAGGGAGGATGGGGTTGGTAAAAAGAATCGGCACTACACATTTATTTGGTGACGTCAAAATCAAAACTAAATAGGGGAGCAGTGGATGCGAGGTTGAATGCCACCACTTTTGGTGAATAAAAACTAGGTCAAAAAGTCACATTATTGATAGTTTTTTTTACATTGTCACTACTTTTTCTTAATTAGCTAATTAGGGCATTAGTTTTGGGCCTAGCTCTCACTGATTTATCATTGGAATTTCCAATGGAAAACTTGATTTTTAATAATTATTTTTTATAAGAAGGGGCTAATGTGACGACGTAATGCTGGATTCTTAAAAACCATGATAGTGATTTTGCATAAAACATATCTGCTTTTATGCAAGGATATGGTTACTATTTCCTAATTAAACATTTCAATCAAGGCCATGGCGTTGGAATATTGTCGCACTTTGTTCTTTTTTTAGTTATTTTTTGTGTGGAGATTTGAGGATACAAAACATCAAATTTTAAAACCAGATTTTGGTTTAGTTATATTATTCTACCGGGGTATGTAAAATTTACGGACAATATGAAAAATTTGATTTGTTCTTTACATGACATGACAACAATGTTGAGACTTTGCAATAGATGGTAGAAAGTATTGCCAAGTGCTTTCTGTTCGGTTACTATCTTGCTAGGGACAAATATTTTAGTTATAAATAATAATAATAAAATAATAATAATTGAATCATCATTTCATTAGTAATTTATAATTTATTTTCATTTATAAATAAATACTATTAGTAATTTATTAGTATTAATTAGTAATTTTTAGTAATTATTTAATTAAGCTTGCTTAGCTGTTAGCTTAGGCTAGGCAGGCATAAAAATTATAAATAATAATAATTTCATTTATGATATGATTTATTTTTTATAAATTATGAACAGTACAAGTCCAGTACAGGCACAGGCTAGACATTGAGACTGAGATACTACTTACTGGTACTGGTAGACTTACACACACTACTTTAACTTAGTCACTTACTGATTATGGTGTAAATTACAATTTATTACACCTAATACTTAATTACTTCGACTTGACTTAAGTGTTAACAGTCTTAACACTTATTTTAGTAAGTTAAGTTAGTTACTTCAATAATTAAATAGTAAATACTAATACTAATACTAATAACTTACAACACTTTTTCGGCTTGAAGAATATTTGCACTGCTGCGCTATTTGAAAACATAAAGAGCTTTTATATTGATATGTAATGTCTAAACGACAAATATTAAACCGTTTCAACATGTTTTATTATTCATATTATACTCGTAAGTCAATAAAATTTACTGAAAGTGAGTGTTGTGGTTACATTCATCTACATCACAAGTCTTAAGTCATCTCTAAAACATTTTGATGCGATAAATACAACAATAATGGATTCATGTTTTTAATATTTTCTCAAAGTTAAAAAAAAATGGAACTATAGTTATGGACCTTCTTGTGATCTTTTTTATTTATTTTCTTTTAAATATTTATTTGAAAAAAAATAATTTAATGAGAAAAAACTGTTCAAATATTAATTAATATATTATCCAATAACTATTTGCCTACTATAATGTAATATTGTATTACAGTAAGTTTAATAATCATTATAATAAACTTTCATTTGTATTGGAAATAGAAAAATTTAAAAAGCATTTTAAACTGCTTAATGTAGTATCCAAATCAATTTAATGGGTACTTGGATGTAAACATTTTGAAGCTCAAAAATGTCACTAAGTTGTGAACTACTATTAGAGTCTTGAGGCGGTCCCGGTCCGTGTTGTTCAGAACGAAATCTGCAAATCTCTGTACAGGCCTACAGAATTCGAGTGAATAATAATTTATTTATTAAAGTATGCGGCTATGCAATACCCGGCTTCCTGCCTAAGTCTAGTCTAAGTGTCTTGTAAGCATTCATTTGTAAGCCATTGTGATGATTGTTCGTGAGTGAAATTCACACTGATCCGATCGCACTCATTTGATCACTCAAATCATTGAATTAGTATTCTGAATTAGTGAATTAGTCAGTGACTAAATTACTGGCTATGCTGACCAATACAAAATAATGAATAATGCAATCAATATCAACAATGCTAGGCTACTATTGCTCACTGGCCTTTCAGTTTTTGTAGCAAGTAGGCTGGCTTTTCTTATAATTAATTAATAATACTATTAATAATGAAAGCATGCATTTAATCTTTAATAATTTATCGGTGCACCTAGCAAAACCATGGAAATAGGCCTGCATACACCATAGCGGTGTACCAGCAAAACAATGGACCTATTGATTATTGATGCTTACACCGTGAATTAAAATTACCTTAGCCTGGTCTTGAGATATGGCAGTTAGTTAGTATTAGTTTAGATGCAATATTCTGTGCTCTTGTGGTAAAGTAAACCCTAGACGATATTTAAGCAATAATATATTTGTGGATCGATTCTAAAATGTTGATTGAGTTTTACTAGGCACAAATCTTTTTTTTTTCATCTTAATTAAAAGTATATTTTATAACTAAATTATTATGTTCATTTGTTAAGTACTTTTGTTTAAATTTTATATTAATTTAAAGATACGTTAGGTGCCTATCAGCCTATCATTAAGTACTATAATTTGAACAAGATGTGGTAGCCTTTAAACTCATAATCCTAAGCCGTAAAACTGTGTTAAGACATCAGCCATACCCTGGGCTCCCACAAAATGTTTTACAGTGAAACCAATTATTAGCACAAACACTTGGAATCAAAACAAAGTGGTGATATTTGCTGTGATAGTGCTATTCCCAGGTTCAGCCAAAATGATGATCATGCTCAATAATTTGAAAGAAGAACATTGAAAATAAGAAGACCAGAAAAACAAATAGTAAGTGCATACATTTATGTATGTAACATATGTTGATTCTGCTCAACCTAGCATTGCACAGTCTGTGCATTAATATGTGACTAATTAACAAGTTCTAGTGACTGCAGACTATTTGACCTACTAGTAAGCTACTACAGACTAGTAGTTTTAGGTAGCAATGTCCAACACACTATGACACTTACTATTAATTACAGTAGTTACAGTGAGCCTACAGACTAGGAATTATAAGTCCCCAATTGGATGTGCCATGACTTTTTACCTCTTTTAATTTAAGGTTGATTCATTTTAAAATTTAAAATAAGGTAAGGTGTTGTACAGATAAGATATTATTTATTAGTTGGTTATAATTTAATATCTCTTTTTTAGAGCCTGTATTGTTTTTAACCCAGGGTGAAAGTTATTTGACTTTGTGAGATTCAATGTTAGAATGTATTATTTTTTATACACTTGCACTATGCTAAACATACTCACTTAATTGTGACCTGACTTGGTATCAAACAAAGTTCACATTTAGAGCAGAGGAAACTAAAATGTATAGTCTTGAAGAAGGCTGCTAAAAGAAAATTTAGAAAATGACTTTTACTTATTTAACTCTTTTAATTTCTCTTGTATAAAAAGTGTAAATTTAATTACACAGGTTTTTTTTTACTCATACCATTTTGTATTTTTTAAAGTTTTCAATATATATTTTATCACAACTAAAAGAAAAATAAAAAATTTAAGATTTTAATAAAAAAATTACTTTTTTCGAGTTTGAAAAAATGTGACTGACCCGAACGAATGATACATTTTTGCTAGATGAAGGTCAACCTTGGCTGTTCAATTTCTACAAAAATGAATATTTCTGATGAAAATACTATTAAATTTTTATCTGCATCTTCTGAGGATAGAGTTGGGAATTAGAATCAAGTGAATTTGATTCAGATTTTTATGAGAATCATCCTTTACAGCCCACTGAAGTTTTATATATTAAAAGGTTAGTTTTTGAGTGTTTCATCATTCTATATATTTCTGAGTTTTATTAAAATTTTTATAAATGTGTCTGTTTAATTATTTTTTTAAAAGCAAATTGAAATATTTACTAGCCATTTTAAAACAAAATTGCTTAAATTGCATCATTTGATAATGTGTGAATATTTGATGGCATTGGATAATATTGAAGTTGTTATTTGACTGTTGCTAAGGAATGTAAACAAAGGAGTTGTAGCTACTTATGAACATGAAATTTGGCATCTGTGTGTGCTATCAATAAAAAAATTAAATGATAGTTTATTTTAAAGTCATAATGGTATTTACTCAATATTGGAAGTTAGGAAAACTGGAAAAGCAAGTGAAGTATTAGTAGGCATTTATACTTTTTAGTTATTTCATCCCTCAAAATAGCATATTAGTTATTCTTTCATATTCTCAGGATAAACTCATATGATGTTCAAGATGATGACCTACCAGTTTCCATTACTGAGTTTTTCCCAGCCAGAAAGCCAGGCCTACATCTGGAGGAAGAAATGTCAACAAGGGATACAGTGAGGTAGTTTCTTCACCATAAAACTAAAGGCCATTTCAAATATATTCACATTGGATTTGGTTGAAACATTTGTAAAATATACCATCTATGTCTCTACCATGGGACCTTCTAAACCAGCGGTCCTCAAACTACAGCCCATAGCCAGAACCAACCATCTTTAACCTGGCCCGCCTGGCAGCAGCATGGATATCATTTTGTATATTTCTGAGTTTTATTTAAGATTTTCAATCTTAAATGTTAGCAGAAAGGGATATTGGCCACCTTTTTAACCAAATACAGGCGCCTACTTCTGAATGAAATATTTATAACTTTATGTTGTTTAAAAGTGTTCTTCATTTGAAATATTGTGGTTTTTTTCCTGCTCAATACTACTGCAATACTGTGTGCAGTGGGCATAGGAATTCATTCATTATATTTTCAAATGATAGTGCAGCTGCGTGCAGCCCCAAAGTGTCTAAGGGAAAGTGAACCGCCCACCTGATTAAAAGGTTTGAGGACCCCTGTTCTAAACTTTTCATCAACAGTGGTTGGTTGATATTTCAAAAGATGAATTTACAAATTTCGTGGAAACTTTAATTTATATGACAAACGTCCCCAGTTTACAAATATACTGGTCAAATTTGACACTGTACCATAGATTTTGGGCTAATGCCTTTTTGCACCAAAAATGATTTAGTCATTTAGACTTTCTTCAAAGTTTCTAATATTGAAACAAAAAATAAGGACACATTGTGCAAACTGAGGTTGTTGTCTGACTTTATCAGAAGAAATTTTAAAAAATCAAAGTGAGGTGATATGAGATTGATAAGAAATAATGAAGTCTAAACTGTTCAGTGGAAAGATAATAAAACTGTCTATCTATTTCCAAAATATGAGACAGCAAATTGATTTTCTTATGTGAACAATAGAACCAAAACTAATGGTAAATTGAGACAATGAAATATTGTCAAATTAAACAATTTATTTATGTGTGGTGTTTACCAGTTGATAAATGGATATATCCCTCTTAGAAAAACAGTACTGGTTAATCTCTTTATTCCATTTTGTTGATATTCCCAGCTATAATCCCTTTTAGGAGTGGAGCAAAGAAAAACTCTTGCATGGATGAACTACAGCCACCAAATTGCTGACTCCAGTTTGATTTCACAGAAGAACTTATTCGAGCTTTAAGTGATTTACTAAAACTGATATTGTTCCAGGTGCCTCAAATGTAAATAACATAAAATACAATAGAATACATCCATTAGCTGCTGAATGCAGTTTTTAATAGAAATTGTAAACTGTGCTATAAATTTGAAATGAAATTTTAAAAAAATTAAAAATCAACAATCAAAAGTAGTATATGTGACACTTAACTTTGTTTTTAATAAACCAAGAAACTGTCTAATTGAGTAGTATAAAATTTGAATTGTCTACTGAGATGTTTTCTTGTGTTTAAATAATTTTGAACAGGTAAAATAATAATAAGCTGTAAATGTACTGGGGTGGTGAATTTATGTAACACATTATTTTCCCTTTTTGACACTTAAAACTATTATATTTATTGTTAAAATGCTCGTAAAATGTTCTGATTTTGTTTACATAGCATACAAAAATGAATTTTCTTTCTTGAATAAACAGATTTTATGAAAAAATTACAGAAATTTTTTTCTTTTTCTTCTTTTCACCTGATCACCAAAAAAATTAATTATGCATCAGTGTATTGAAAAATGGCCATATTTTTCTCACAACTTCAAAGTGTTGTATGTTTAGAAACAAATATATGTAGAAGCCTCATGCATTTCCCTACAATTTTATAGAGAGTATCATGAACTTTAGGTATGGTTTTAAAAGTTATTGACACTTTTGTAGGGTTACTAGAAATCTTAAGAAAAAAAAGCAAACATTCAAGGAAGGAAAGGAGGGAGTTCATATTAGTTTTATTTGATGTTGATTGTATCAAAATAATGAAAATAGATAGAGGCTAAAAAAAAAATGACAACTAAAGTGCTAGTTATTTATAAATATTTAGGCCTAAGTTTATATAGATTAGTCTTACCAATACAGAGTTTGGTTCTACATTGTATAGGCAGTATACAAAAAATTGATTGAAAATATATACATGTCTCTAACTATACACAGATCCAATGCTGAAACCTTGTTAAACATCCCCTGGACAAAAGGTTACCATATAACATACTATGAGTAAGCAACAGACTTGCCTTTCCTTACTCCCGGCATGGCAAGCAGCAAAAGTGCCCTCAGAGGTCTTCTGTCAAGAAAGATGTGGACATAATGCTGTCTGCATAAATAATGAACTAATCATCTGGGGAGGATACAATGTTAGCTCAAAGTTTCTTTTGTATATTCTAGAACTGATTCTTAAAACATTTTCTTTAAACATATTATTCTACTATCTTGTTTTTGCTTTTTTTTTTTTAATTCACTGCAATAATTGTAATAAAATTTGTTGAGATCATTAAGCTAAGAATTGTCATTGTATATTTTCAAGGAATTCTCCAACAACTTTAGCTGTGCTGATGTCTTGAATGTAAAAATATATGGATTTTGAAACTAATCTCTTTCCTATAGAATTTAGCTGACAATGGAGCACAATACTGTCCCACAAATGTCCTTTGGAGCTTCAGCATTGAGTTGGATCGCTGGTATGAATCTGATAATGTAATTAGCTTCTCAAGTCCCAACAGTTATTTTGTTTGATAAATCTCTAAGTTGTAGATTCATATTTTTGGGGCCTATGTTTATCGATGAATGATTAAATTGAAAAGAAAATGTAAACATCCAATAAGACAAATTAAATACTCTTTAAAAATGAATGGCCCTTCCATCAGTGATACAAATATTGAGGCCCTATTCATGTATCAGTCCAAAAATCTCAGAAGCAATTTTTCCTACCAGTATTTGTATTTATGGCATGGTTGAAACTTGCAATAGTCACCCAATAAATATGGCCTATGCCTTAACCAATGGTGCAGGACTCTCTTTTGCTATTTGTATGCCTTAAGTCAGTCATTTGTATTGTTTCATGATTTTGCAGGCTTTGTGTGAAAACAAGTGCAGAATTACCAGAGTGTAGCTCTGGAGCTTGCAGTGCCATTCTTTGGCCCTACTGGTATCTTTTCTGTGGGCACAATTACAATGGAAACTCCAATTCCATTAGTAGGATTGATCTTTGTACTCTGAAGTGGGAATGTTTGAAAGTATCAGGAAAGATAATCTCTCCTAGGGACAAAGCTTCGTCTTGGGTCTTTCTAAAAAAGTGAGTTTTTTGTGAGTTTTTTTTCATCTACTGATTGTTTCTAATATCGTTCAGATCTGTGGAATCTCTACTGGGATTAATATATAACTTTATGAGGCTTTATTTACCTAAGCTGTTTGGATAAAGGTATATGAATTTCTTTGTTTTCAGGATATATTGCTTTGGTGGCTTTGGTCCAAGACTCGACCATGACTTCCTCTGGTGTCCAGATGAAGATACATTCACCGATGACCCTGGTGTAAGTTTACCAGCAGAAGCTGAAATTTCAAGAATGTTTTCTTTGTGAAGTACACTTCTTTCTTGTGGTGAAGTATTCATCTGTTTTTAATCACTAAGGACTAAATATATAATCAGTAAATTTAAAGCCAATGACGTCCATTTTTGTTTTTGTATATTATTCAGACTTCTTTCCTCGGTTTTGGCCTTTTTGTCTTTAGACATACCGGGTATTTTTATAAGGATTCCTAACATATCCAAATTTCAACTCTTTATTTTCTTATGTCACATTTCTTAACACACTTTTATGTCCCTTCTTACAATTTCTACTTAATAATTTGTATTTACTGACATTCCCGTTTATTCACTTCCTGTTGTGGTTTGAAATACTTGTAGAGTATCAGTGTAATGTGTCGTTCAGCTTCTAGGTGCACAATTTTAATTTCATTATGGCATGACGTATGATCTGTCCCAACTTTGTCTAAATTACAGTCTCTCAGGGGTTGGAATGACCAACTTGTTTATTTCGACACAGAGAAACTGGAATGGGTGTTGGTTCACTGTCAGGTTTGTATTTCTTATACAACTTACATCAACTCAGCTGTCACCATAGCTTAGATTTTCAAAGATGTCGATCTCAAAATGTCAATGTGGAAAATGTCACAAACTAATTTCTATACATTTTGAAAAATTATACTTAATTTAAACGCCTATGTTTTGTTTTCTATTGGTGCAAATACAGATACATAGAAAAATTGTTTTTTTGCGATAATTACTTTTATGATAATGATTGATTGTATTGATGATTGTTCATAAAAATGATTGTTCATAAAATGATTGGACACAATAATCTCATGTATTAAGATAACTGAGTATCAAGAGCAATAAAACTATAATGTACAAGAAAGAATGTGTGAAGGCATGTTACACATCAATGAATGATAAAATATTTTTTTTACAAACCCAATGTCGTACAATGGGTGCAAGACAAGATAATAATATTTTTGTGTGGCGTAGAATGAAATAATAATAAACTTGATGCGAGCAACTGTGAGGCCATAAATTTATCTAACTTATTTACTGCTAGTATTTTATTTCATAGTGATGCAGTTTGTGAAATGCTTTTTACTATTTCTTTTACAACTGCCTCCCTGTCTTGAATCCACCATCCAGTTTATTAATGCTGTGTTATCGTCGACAGGGAGAAAAGCCGAGCAGTCGAGCAGCACATGCCACTGTATGCATTAACACAAAAGTTTACTTGTTTGGTGGTCGGCACTCAACTCACAGACTCAACGACTTGCATTGTTTAGATCTAGAGTCTCACACTTGGAGTGGAATGTAAGTTCTTGTCTTTAGTTTTCACCACTTGTTTTATTATAGTCATTTTTATACCTTAAAAAAATGTGGTTTTGCTGCCACAATGTACTGCAGTGCAACCCAGGGCAGTTAATTCTAAAGTATTTGTAATTTATGGTGCAGACTGTTTTTTAATTTAAATAAGATGAATAAAAATGGAAAAGTGCTTGTGTGCAATTAATTTGGAAAAATTATAAAGACTTATGCATGGATCCTAAAAAGAAAGAGAAGAGTCCTATGTAACCACTGGACTATGAGCTCAGCTAAATGATTTCAAAGACATGCACACCATTAAAAACAATGTAATGCATGTACATTTCATTTAAAAAAAATTAAATGTATGGTCAAGTTTTAAAAAAGTTTCCCCTATTCAATAACTAAGTGTAGTTTGTTGACAAAGTCACTCACAGTATTGAGACTACTTACTGAACTATGTTTTTTTTTTTCCTTCACTGAACTATGTTTTTTTATTTCCTTCATGTTACTGGAACACAACCAACACTTAATTGTTTTTCATGTTAGGATATCCTGTACAGGAAATATCCCAGAGAAAAGATCATGGCACAGCATGACCCATGTCGGTAAAAATGAAATAATGATGTATGGAGGATTCAGTGGTTTTGAAATTCCGTTAGGTAAATGTTGCTTTTATTTTTTCCCCTTCCATATGTTGATTTAACTCAATATTATAACATTATCGCCTGTTCAGAAAGTTAACATAAATGCCGCATTGAGTTTGTACTGTTCAGTTATACATTAGACTTAAAAAATTTAGAACATGAATTAAAATGACATCTTTTTTTTTAATAGCTTTTTTTAATGGTTAAAAAAAAGTATGGTCAATGTACAGGTACAAGTGGGTCAAGACGCAACTGAGGGGAAAGTTGGGCATGGTGGGGAAGTGGGTCAAGACACAACTGAGGGGAAGTGGGTCAAGACACAACTGAGGGGAAAGTTGTTAATGATGGGGAAGTGGGTCAAGACACAACTGAGGGGAAAGTTGTGAATGGTGGGGAAGTGGGTCAAGCCGTCTACAAAATTTAAAATAGTTACAAGGATGTATCTAGATATTAGAAATAATAGCCATTCTCTCTTTTCTTTTTAATTTTATGCCTACACAGTTACAATCATAATTTTAAAATTGGTTGCCACAAATACTTAATCAAGATACCCCAAACATTTGCTTTATGTTTCATTATTTTAAACAGATGACATATGGATGCTGAATGTTGAATCTTTTAGTTGGACATCAATAAAGCACTCTACAGGACTTCCCAGACTATGGCATACAGCTAGCATCAACAGCCTCGGTGACATCTTGATCTTCGGAGGATGTTCTAATAATATTTTAGATATTGAAGCAAATCTGGTGAATATAATTTTTTTAAACTCAGAAGTAATCTAAACTTTTATTGATTTATTACCTTCTTCATTCCTTAAAAACAATAATATATTATAATAGCCAGGCATCACATACTAATTTATCTTCTAGTGGGGGCTAAGCTCTCGCTCTTTATGGCCCTGGCTCACACAGGTATCAAGCTCCATCTGCTTGGCTCTACCTAACAACATCTTATGAACTTGGGTCTTGCCAGGCACCCTGGCCTCCCCAATTTCAAGTTTGGGTACAAAGTCAACAGGGATCTGTCCATATCTGAGTTTTGAGGCTCTGATATTGGTGTCTCAGTTTTCAACATGGATGGGGTGGAGCATGTTAAGCCATGTACACCTCTAGCCTTTCTGCTACATTAAGAGACCCTGGCCTGTAGGGCTGCAGGTGGACAAGTAGTTGAGCACAGCCAAGTACTCAGTGCACGTCTTACTAATTTCACCCAGCTCCAAGACAAAGTGGGGAGGAGTTTTTGCATCTCCTTCCTGAAGTGGGTAAAGGAATGAGTCTGGTTGTTTCTTAATATAGCTGCCATCTCATGTAATCAATTAGCCTAAAATGTTTCAGACACAAAAACTTCTAGGGACTACTTTTTGGGTCTTGCCAAACTACAAGAGAAACAATTTATCAATATAAAGAAATATTTCCTATGTACATTCAATTAGAAAAAATAAAATTGAACTTGACTACAGAAAATTGACTCCATGTTGCATCTTTTCAGAGGTGTCATAAACTCATGGGATAATCTATCACTGATCAAATTTTGTTGTTTAAAATTAGAATAATCTATAATCTCTTCAAAATTGTTTTCAAAATAAATTTTTCATTTTCTATGCTGTTTACTTCCATACTCAAAGCTGAACTTTTGCAAATTTTAGCTAATTAGCAGGTTTTATATATTTTATATCATAATTTTGTCTTTTCTCTTCTGATACTATAGAGATAATATAAATTGTAAATTTTCAACATTTTAAAAAATATCTGATATCTGTTCTTGAAAATGCTAAAGGATGATGAAAGTATTACCAGGTTTTACCAAATTATTATTTTAATAAAATTCTCTTTTTTGTTCGGCTATAAACCTGCTAATACTTGAAGTGTAGAAGCATTTTGATAACTGCCAAAAAATCTTTATCACACATTATCAAAGATGTTTGTTTTACCCTCAAAGGAAACCAGCGACAAAGTCATTTTAATCAGAACTGAACCTTTTTCATTAGAAAGGTAAGAAATCTTTTTGGTTAAATTAATGGAAATCTTTTTCTTTTTTTTTTAACGTGGACATTATAAAAGGCTTAAGTAAAGGGAGAGAAAAATGTTGGTTTTCATTATATCTAATAATCCTATTGAATTGCATTTTTATCAGTCTAAAACAATGGGGATTAAAAATTAATAGTTAACTATAAAAAAAATCAATAAATCAATTTTTTAGTAATAGAGCATAATCTCATCATTGTACCAAGCAAAAAAAAAAAATCCATTTCATAGATTTTGAATATCCAATCACTTGATAATGATTGATTACTTATGTAGCGCTATTTTAGCATGCTCACATCGCTATGTTATAAAATCTATTTAAAGAAAAAGGTATTAAATGTTTCTTGAATAAAATTCTTAATTGAAAGGTGTTTTTTTTTTTTTTTTATGTATAAATGTTGCTCGTTAGTTTCTTCTGCTGATTTTAGTTTTGCTATGTTGCCATTTTTATCATGATGATGTACTTATATTTTTGGTCAAAGTTAAAGGTTGTCACTATAGGACATATTTTTTTTTTTGTAATGGGGCCTAACTGTGTAATCTCTAAATACAATGCTCTTCCAACAGTTTTCTCCCTAAGTGCTAGTTGAATTTTACCAGTTGATATCTTGTTCAAACTTATGTATGAAAATGCTAATTTTTAACATACATATTCATTATAATTTTTAATGCATACTGAATAATTAAAAATGTTTTCCCCTGAATTGTGGGATGTTTTTTATGAAAGTTAGTAATCTTAGAAGGGCTCAAGCTTTCTAGACTAGAAACTTGAGAGTGGTTCATGAGTGTTGATATTAAAAATTAAAATTATTTCTCATCTGCTCAACCGTGTGAAATGAAAATTTAGTGAAAAAAATATATTTCAATGGCTAAGCATTTACAAAATGACTTGAGTGTGTTTATATCCATAATTGTCTAGATCAGGGGTCATCAAACATTTTTAGCCATTACCACAAAATATATACTTTTATGTCGCAGTTACCCCAGATTTGAAAGGAAGAAAAGCTTAGATTTAGACTTTTTAATTTCAAAATAGTTTATTTATAGGGAGAATACAAATCTACGTATCAAAGAAAAAAATGAATTTGATATAGTAAATTTAATAAAAATCCTCATTATGGAACAAAAAGTTTCTTTGAAGAAAAAAAATTTACTTCAATTTTTTTTAAAGATTGCGTTTCATTTTTATACAATTACATAAAAATTTTGTTCATTTTTTAAAATTTGGATAATGATAAATAATTGATTTCTATTTTTAAAAATTTTCATTTGAGTTAAAAATTCCCAAAGGCAACAACTTTTTGACTGCCTCATGAGCTATTTGAAAACCCCATAAGCAGTAATGTCACTAGGAGTGCAGGGATGTAGACCATACTGGGGACATCCTCTCAGGGGGTATACACCCTCACAGAGAATAAGACCTAATGAAAATAAGTCACTTTGACAAAGCTCAATCAAGTCAGTTTTATAACCCAACTAAGTTAATACAAGAGTAAGGTGTCACCTGTCAACAGAGAAGGGTGTCACCTGTCAACAGAGAAGGGTGTCACCTGTCAACAGAGTAGGGTGTCACCTGTCAACAGAGTAGGGTGTCAACAGAGCAGGCTGACTCGGAGGAGGTCCATGAGGAAGTCTGGATGGGGTGACACTATGAAATGACCCTACTGGGCGGAACCAATTCCGAGACACTGGGGATAAGATTAAATAGGTGACTAGGCAAAAGTGATGTATACAAGGCGAGACGTGAACACTTGCTGCGGTGCCACTGGTAACCACATGTTATTGGGTGCATTTTGTTTTTACACTGCCAGATGCAGTATTGTCAGAAAAAAATGTTTTGTAAAAATACAATTCATATATAAATGTATTTGTCTGTTGAGCCCTCATTACCGCCAAGATTTTCCATTTTTACCCCATTTGAGGTAATTTACCTCAATTCACAGACCACTATCCGACCACTTTTCTAATGCATTCAATACAAAATTTATTTCAGGCTGTGCTTGCATTCAGTGTATAAAAACAAAAAATATACTTATGAAGGATGGAACCTACTCCCCAAGTGTCTGCAAGAGTGGCTTCGGTTGAAATCTGCTGCTGATCAAGATAAGAGTTATGCCTTTAGAAGTAATGTGTTGCTAGGACTTGGTCCAAGTCTTTCAGATCTTGCTTTGCTCTCCGAAGAAGAGGCTGAAAAATGTAAGCTAGCTTTGAGGCTTATTGTGTAATAGTAATTTAGTTAACAAATAAACAATTAGGAAATATACAATTCACATGTTGAAAGTGAAAATAATAAAAGCATGCCAGTGATGTCATGACTTAATGTTTGTTTGCGATTTGACAGACTGGAAAATGTCTAACATTATTCTTTCACTCATTAGAAAACATGCTTCTAGAAACGTTACGTTTAACTAATAATTTTTTAAATTTTGATTGTCCTTAGACTAAGTTGAAGAATCAGTTCTGTATAATCTGCAACTATGCACCAAAATCTTGTAAGGCCAAAGTGTTCTATTAATTGTAATAACTCGGTTCATCTCCTTGAGTAAAATTTGTAAAAAGTTGCAATAAATGCTTAAATTTTTTAGAAAATGTAAAGCAAACAAACAATTTTGAATTTGAATACATGCATTTAATATGATACAAAAGCATTTACAATGCATTCAGTGATGTTAGGCATCTAAACTTCTTACATTTGTATGAATTTATGTGAAACTTCTGAATTCACAGTGACATAATCAGTATACCTGGATTTTTTTTTTGTCACATTCAATCATGTGTAGACCATAAATATTTTTTATTCAGCAATGGTGTACCAGTAACAGCATGTTGTAAAGAACTGTTCATTTATGAGACGTGTGTTGATTGGGTCAGCAGGGATGTGTCATCATGTTGTAATTGTTCATTTATGAGATGTGTGTTGATTGGGACAGCGGTGATGTGTCCACTGGTTGTAATTAATAACTGTTCATATATGAGATGTGTGTTCATTATGTCCATCAATGATGTTCCAGGAAGTTGTTTTGCAGTGAACCATTAATGAAAATCCTTTCTGACCTCTCAGACAAGAGACAAGTGCAATGAATGGTGAAATGAATTGAGGTGAGGCAAGACATTAAGTTTAGATTCAGCCAATTGTTGTTGTTTTGTGTATGGTTTGCCAGCGTAAGGCCAAGATCAACTACTGCCACTGTAGCTGTAGCGTGGCGTTGAGATCCACTTTTTGTCACAATGTTTCATAACTGATTTTATTTTCACACTGGATTTCATTGAGTGATTAAACTTACATTATGTTTTTTCTTGTGAGAGGTCAAATAAAAATTTGACGAAAAATGAAAATATTGTTTACGTCCTTCTTGCTAGATAGCTAAACATTTATGTATTTGTTCCTAGCAACTTTTCTACTTCAAGAACTATTTTATTCTGTGAAATCTCATGTTTTGGTCAATGTGTCCCTTCGGAAGTTAAAACATAAATTTGATTACAGAATTGGGAAGTTACTATGCTTCATTTTGTATACTCTTCCATCTGTTTTGTAATTAGCTGTTGACAATTGCTGGGGTGGACAAGATAAATGCTTAAGTAATAAACATGTAGCCATGTAGCCTCTGCTGCAACTGTCTCATCAGCTTGTTATGGTCTTGTCACAAAAGCAGTTGTCTGTATTAAGTGGCATTAAATACAGTGAGTTTCAGATGGATCACTACAACAAAATGCTTGTCTGTGCTTAACATTTGCGTTTTTTTTAATGATTTATAAAAAAAAAAGTCATTTATATAATTTATTACCTTTTTGTTTGTTTGTTTTTTGACATATTTTCTGTGGTTTTTATATTTAAAAAAACCTATTAAATATTTCACATGTAAAAAATATTTTTCTTTCTTATTGTCTAACTACTCTTTTAAATATTTGAGGTTTTGTTTTATTTGAATTGTCAGCTGTATGCTGTATGCCGCATCAATCCAGTTCATTTTCAAATTGTGTAAACAGAGACGGCTAAATCTCCCAACATGAACAAAGTTATTTAGGTCAGCTCGAGCACCTAGTTGTTGGTATAAAATAGAAGAATTATTCATCAGTCATATCAATTTACTTTTCATTCTTGTTCGAGAATTCCCTGAAAATAAGTGGCCAAGCCCACTCCCCACTTTTGAAGATGTTACAAAATCTCAAAACTAACAGATGTAATGTTTAAACAACATAAAAGCTGTGCAAATCACACTCCATTCAATAAACACACTTATTAGTAATTAGATACAACTTAATAATACATGAGTGGGGTTATAAGCGTGGTATATCACACTCTGAGCTATTTAAACTCAACTGACGTTTACAAGAAGGGTTGACAATTAAAATAAGACTGCGCTGAATCAATGCAATTTTCTCCTTATTAATTGAATTATTACCACCTCACACCACTTTAAAAAAAAATAACGATCTGCCAAATATGTTAATGTTTGCAATTCATTTTTAATGACTATAATTACTATTACTATAATCACTAGCTGCCTGTTACGGCCTGTAGCACTCCAGCCACATAAAAAAATTCAATATTTGGTCTTGATACGTTGTGCTGCTTGACTTTTGAGCAACATATAATTTTCATGTCAATTGTTTCGAATCAATTAGAAAAAGAACTAACTTCATAATGCTTTCAATCATTTAGCTTACTTCAAGACTGTTATGAATAGTTTGAATGTGTCATATGGAATATGCTCATCCTCTTAAAGTCTAGACCTTTCAAGCCACGCCTCTTTAAAGTCTAGACCTTTCAAGCCACGCCTCTTTAAAGTCTAGACCTTTCAAGCCACGCCTCTTTAAAGCAACTACTAAAAAAACTAATTTACTATTACCAATTGGTAGAATAGTGCTGACAGTCTGTGATAATGAAATATTGCTTCCAGATATAAACTAAACATCTTTTTCTTTCTTCATTATTCCTTTGTTTTGAAATAACAATGAATGAAGTGGAATGAGAAATGGGCTTTCACCAATTATAATAATTAATGAGAGCGCTGTAAGACTATAAATTATAAATTATTTGAAAATACGCATTGGATATGTATAAAAACATGTATGATGCGTTCCCATATTTGTGACGAGTGGAAAAAATCTTAAAGTAATCCCAAAAGGAACCTCAGCTTTTATAAACAAAGTATTTATCAACTCATAGGAATGGGCTGGTTAGATCAGTCTATTTCAGCAAACCCGTCCACGCCATTTTTACTTCTTTACACTATAAATTATAGTACCGTGGTAGGGCAGCCTCAGACTAAGAGCAACCAATCAAATTCCACGATACAATGTCCTCTCATCGAAAGTGCAACGTCAAGGGAAAGTAATGCCCACACTGTAGATCTCGCTCACACCTTGGACACAACGGGCGGTCTCGTTACCATAGAGACGCTGTGGGTGTTCCGAGTCGTGTTTACAGGGTTCTTCTGTGGAGGGATCAGTATCGTCGGAATAATCACCAACAGCTTAACCGTCTACATATTTATAAAGCAAGGTAATATTTAGGTAATGAGCCGAGATGTCTATGCTCTTTTACAAGAACCCTGTGAGCCTTTTCAGTAGTGCTTACTTCTTTTCTTTCAGATCAGGCGGGTGAATAGTAAAACAAATCGATAGTTTGAAGTAATTGAAGAAAAAAATAATCATAAACTTCACAAAGAGAAATATGAAGTTGTAAACATTGGTTGTTATGAAAGCCGCAACTGGGCTTTTCGACGCCCTGGGCGACCTCTTAATTTGGCAATGGCAACCCCTCTCAGCCCCCCCCCCCCCCCCCCCGTGCTGACCGAAAAGACGAAATCTATTAATTTTGTTAAAAATTTGTATACTAAAAATCTTACCAGTGAAATATAATTATTAATATTATTAGTATTATTTTTAATCCATATAGAACATATTTAAAATAATTTATAATGAATTGACAAAATGCTTACAATAACAATTTGTACAGATTACTAATTAGGCGCTAGCCTATAGAAATAAAACATCAAATTTGAATGATCTGACATGAGTCACGTGATCACGTGTAATTCATTTTGTTACTATTGTACTAACGGCAGTTGCAATTCCTGGAAATCGCGCCCCCATGATTGTTTTGGCGCCCACCCATGGTATCGTTTCTGGTTGCTCTCTGTGTTTGGGTTCAAACCCCCGAGAGCAAATATTTGTAGAGGGAATATGGGGACTTTTAATCAGTCCCTGTGAAAAATCCACCACACTATATGCGCCCTTCCCATATACTAAGATTATATAATTTGTTAGATAGTTGTTTGATGAGTTGCCTATATAAATAGCTTAAATTTGTTAAATAAGTGATGTGTTGCCTATATAAATAGCTTATATTTGTTAAATAAGTGATGTGTTGCCTATATAAATAGCTTATATTTGTTAAATAAGTGATGTGTTGCCTATATAAATAGCTTATATTTGTTAAATAAGTGATGTGTTGCCTATATAAATAGCTTATATTTGTTAAATAAGTGATGTGTTGCCTATATAAATAGCTTATATTTGTTAAATAAGTGATGTGTTGCCTATATAAATAGCTTATATTTGTTAAATAAGTGATGTGTTGCCTATATAAATAGCTTATAAGAAATCAATTCAAGTATGCAAAAGGGTACTATGGGGGGGTGGGGGGGGGAAGTGTGAGGGGGGGGGGACTCCAGTGTGGTGTTTCATTAATCACATGACAGACGCAGAGACGTAGCGTGGTGGGGGCAGGGGGGGGGACAGATGTCCCCGGGCGCCAGCTGGTTGGGGTGCGCTAAAATGTGCTTTGATATCATATTATTGGTAAAAATAATGGGTTTGAGAGTTGAAAAAAAGAAAAAGGGGGCGCTTTAAAATGGACCTCGTCCCCGGGCGCGAATCTTGTCCCCGGGTGCCAAACACCCTCGCTACGCCCCTGGACAGACGTCGGCTCAACTCCTTGTACTTTTGTCACGTATGTTGGGGAGGGGCAGCTATGGCCCTTGGTCTTAATTTCCCCCACTTTGTACAGTACAAGAGGTAACACTCTTTTTTTCCTACTTTCTACAGCGTTTCAGGGCGGATGTTCCATTTTCAAAATCTTTTCGAAATGTCTCTGCCCACCCCCGTCTTTCTCGGGACTTATTTGCTTCCAATTTAGTGTACTGCAGTCTTAGCTGTTGCTGCCGTGGCAGGTGTAGGATATGCCAGCACCGTGCGCAGAAATGTTTGTAAACACACTGCGTATTCCTGCAGAATCCACTCATTATCAGGACTTTTTCCTTACTTACGCGATCCTCATTCTCCCCCTAACTCATTTGAAATATAATAATTGAATAACTAAAATTATGACTCTTGAGACCACTGACCGCCCACTATTTTACCGACCTTCTTTCTACTCCCTCAATCCACGGGGGCTTGTAAGTTGGTAGCATAATTGTTGCCAATTGTGGCGGATGAGATAAGGGAGCTTAATTTATGGGAGCTCAGATGCGAGCTGTAGGATTTTGGGGAGGGTTAGTTCGGAAGGGGCTAGGGGGTAGGACACACGGAAAATAGACTCGGAACAACAGGGTTATCAAATGGACCGTTTATAAACTTTTGCTTTAACTTTGTCACGTTAACCGGGATTTCGTAAGCATTCTTTGTTTTGACAATAAAATACTTCTATATGTGTCTATAATTTAAAGATTACAATTTTAATTGTAATTTAAAGAATGTAAACTAAACTGTTAAACGCAATAAAAAAAAACAACAACAAACAACAGAAACGAAAAATGAATTACGCTAAAGCAGACAAATCGCGCCATGACGTCATTTGTGTTTATTTAACTGTGGATACCCAGAATTGTTTTTTTTTTTAAATTAAAAAAAATAATAATAAATGTACACACCTGGTTATACTTCTGCGTGGAAGTTGACAACTTTGTGTACAAAAAGGATCAGACCCTCCCCACTTTTCAACCCTGTTTCTCAATTTCAAATTCACTCCGGGGCTTTCGAAAAGTGGGTTGGGAGGGGGGGGGGGCAAGGCGGGTGTGGGGACACTGAAAATATTAAATGTATATCATGTATTAATTTTAATACTTGCCCCGGACAATTTTGCAGAAATATCGAACTTTCCGGTTGAAAACCCAAGCTATACATGCCGATTTCTACTCCACAGGTCTTCACGATTCAGTCAACATCTCGTTGCTGACACTGGCTGTCGCGGACCTGTGCAGCGTCACATTAATGCTGTGGACATCCATCTGGGAGGTCATTGACCTGACTCACCCACCGCCGTTTCTGCTTGACCCCTACAGCGTCAGCATGATCACGGGGACGCTCCCGAGAATCATTCTCAACCGGGTCAGCTGCTGGCTGACGGCGCTCATCTCCGTCGAGAGGTGCGTCTGCGTGGCGTTTCCGTTCAAGGTCAAGGTCATCTTCACACGCCGTAACTCGTCGCTCCTGGCATCGTCCGTCTTCTTTGTCATCTTCACGAGCCATTTGTCTATTTACAGCTCTCGTTACCTGGCCCCCAAGTGGATCCCAGCTCTCAACATTACACGGTACTCCATTGTCGCAATCAACGAGCCCTTTGAGGTTGTGAAAACGTCCCTGCTATTTTTGTTCTTACCGCTGATGAATATCAGTTTCATAATACTTTGTACCGTCGTCCTCATTGTGAAACTGAAGGTGTCGACGAGCTGGCGCAAGAACACGGGCACGGGGAATCATCACGTGGAATCCGCAACTCAAGTTCGCCTTGGTCTCCAGCGCGAGGAGATTAAAGTTGGTGACAGCAAGGGCGAGTCGCGTGGCGGGGCTGCCTCTGCGGGGTCCAAAGACGCAAGGGTCACCAAAATGATTTCAACCATCATGGTTATTTTCGTCATGTGCAATACCCCCAGCAACGTGCTGCTGGCGGCCAGCGCGATCATTCCTGGGTTTAATGAGATCGGAATGCACAGTCGGCTGTTTGTGTGCGTATACATCCTGACCGTTCTGCTGGAGACCGTCAACGCCACGGTCAATTTCTTTGTTTATTACGCCATGAGTTCAAAGTTCAAGGCAACATACGTCATTCTTTCGTCGGTTTGCTCAAAATTAATTATGAAATGATTACAAAATACAGTTTTGAACATTATCAAATTACTTATCATAGTTTGTATGTTTGTACTATTTTTTTTTATTCAGCTGTAGAATTGCCTATTATTGCATATTTAACTTGTATTATAAAGGTAAATGAATAATTGTTTTGACATCTGAGAAAGCTTGTGGCTGGATTGGCTGACTTTGTGTTGTCTCAAATAAAGCTTCACCATATTCATTGCCCACAGTTTTACAATTAGTTAACTAAGGAATTGTCTGAATCTTTCAATGAATGGATAAGTGGCCAGCCCTAAAAGACCTCCACAGGGAAAAGTTATGCAAGATGGTCCGGGGGAAATGTGGGAGGGGAGGTAAAAAATGCAATTCGTTTGAGGATGGTACCATCTGTTTGCATCTACCATAATGAAAAGCTCGGCGTGGCTAGGTTTGTTTGTAAACGGGTCGACCAATCACAAGAAAAAAAAAAAAAAAAAAAAAAAAAAGAAAAACGCAAAAAAAAACTGCGAATCGCAAAGAAATATGGCGTGGTCATTCCTCCTGACCTACAGATGGTTCCTGGAAAGTTTGGTCATAATCCCTTTATATCTAAAGCTGTACATTTAAAAAAAAAAAAAAGTAAAATCCAGAGCGTTATTAAGAGTAATTTTTTCATATCATTTTCAATAAATGTCTTCGGGGGACGTTCAATCAAGTTAAGTTATTTTTGGTGCAGGCATTTTTATTTTCCTTGATTCAGAACGGTGCGTTCTCGAACATCTATGAAATGAAGGTTTTTGGTGCGCCTTTGTTTGGTAAAGGGATCTTTATATATAACAATGAATGCCTGTCTGTATTTATTTGTGTCCCATATGCGCTCCCGTACCATTCACCCGATCGCGATAAAACTTTGGTGAGTTGTGCTCATGTCTAAAAAGGTTTATCGAATAGTACAACCATTTTTAAAATATTCCGTTTGGGCCAGGTGCCCTAAGGTCGTTTTTCTTTCTTATATGAGCTATATAAATATAATTTCAAACAGAGTTAATGCATGGATGAATGGACTTTTAATCAAATAAAATAGCGACATTTCAGTTTGTGTGTGACATAATAATTAGGTTTGTGAATTAGTACAACCATTTTACAATATTCCGTTTGGGGCCAGGCGCCCTAAATTCGTTTTTTTTTTAAATTTATGAGATCTATAAATTTAATCCCTGTATGCGTTCCTATTCCATTCATCCGATTGCGATAAAACTTTATTGAGTTATTGTGCGGAAATCCGCAAAGGTATTTAAAGTAGTAAATCCATTTTACAAATATTCCTTTGGGGTAAGGGACCTAAATTCGTTTTTTTACAAACAAAATTACATGAGCTATATAAATCTAATTTCAAACAGAGCTATTCCACGAGTGGATGGAATTTAAGGAAATACATATTCTGACATTTCAGTTTGTGTGTAACATAATAAGTAGCTTCCCGAATTAGTCCAAGCATGCTAAGATATTCCGTTTGGGGCCGGGGGCCTTAAATTGTTATTAAAAAGAAAAAATTATATGAGCTATATTAATATCTAATTTCAAACAGAGCTAATTCATGGGTGGATCAATCGCTACAAGTGTGAACAAAATTTTGATAATCCATGCTTCTCTTATGGACAGCTAGGTGGCCTGCTCACGCGACGAAAAATCTTCTACTTTATTCGTGTAGGCAACAGGCGGAAAAACAAAAAATATTGTCTATAGAAAAAATTACCTCAAAAAACGTAATTAAAACACAAACATTTTCTTTCTTTGGGTGGCATTGCAACGCATGCAGGGTTCTCGCTAGTTTTGAATAAAGTTTTATTTTAAGTGCTTAAAAATAGGATAGTACATTAGAATTATCACATAGTTCAGGGGCGTGTATAAAAGGGTGCTTTGTGGTACCTTTAAGGGTTTACAATCATGGGTGTTCTTTGATTAATTTGTAATATTAACTTAATATAGTAGATGTGTTTGTGTGTCTGTGTGTAAGGGAGAACATTAAGCTTGTGTTTTAGCCTCAAATCAAAATTTAGTAAAACTACGCCCATGAATAGGTGGCATGTGCCATCTTAAGGCATGGGCCCACTGGGCACTTGCCCAGAATCAGAGGCGTAGCGTGGTGGGGGCAGGGGGGGGACAGATGTCCCCGCGCCAGATAGTTAGGGGCGCCAAAATGTGCTTTGATATTATTTTATTGATGAAAATACTGGGTTTGAGAGTTGAAAAAAAGAAAAAGGGGCGCTAAAAATGGATCTTGTCCCCGGGCGCGAATCTTGTACCCGGGCGCCAAACACCCTCGCTACGCCACTGCCCAGGATCTCACGCTTCTATGGGAGCCTCTTCTAGGAGACTCACTCTTTTAGAGGCATCATGCTTCACATATTGCTTATGACAATTGAACGATTTTGGCTGATTGGATTTAAAAGTCGGTGGGCAGCACGTCTCTCAATTTTACACCACGATATTATCTGCACATTCCAAAATTAATACTATAAAGCGAATCACAAGTTGGATACTTCCTAAAGGGAAATAACTCTCGTCAACTAGTTTTACTTATCCCAGGTATGGATCGAAAATAATAAAGTAAGAATGAGTGTTTATAATGATGTTAGACTAAGATGTTATCCCCGGGCGGTAATAACTAGGGTTGCCAGGTCTGATTCCAAAAAATAGTGGACAAGCGCGGCCAGGGGTGGGGGGTGGGGGGTGTTAAGTGGTAAAAAAAATTATTTACAATTAAATATATATATATATTTTTACAAACGTTTTAACACGCATTAAAATAATCACTTCACTGTACTGTACAGCTTTACATTACGTAACATCTCATCATATAGTATAGCTTTTGAATAAAGACATGTCCACTATTTTGTGAAAAGAAATAGTGGACATAATGTGCAAAAATCGGACTGTCCGCTCAAATAGTGGAGACCATGCAAACTTCGTAATTTAGAGTAATAACCCGAGCCTCGCCACTGCTCAACAACCCGAGCCTCGCCACTGCTCAACAACCCGAGCCTCGCCACTGCTCAACAACCCGAGCCTCGCCACTGCTCAACAACCCGAGCCTCGCCACTGCTCAATAACCCGAGCCTCGCCACTGCTCAACAACCCGAGCCTCGCCACTGCTCAATAACCCGAGCCTCGCCACTGCTCAATAACCCGAGCCTCGCCACTGCTCAATAACCCGAGCCTCGCCACTGCTCAATAACCCGAGCCTCGCCACTGCTCAATAACCCGAGCCTCGCCACTGCTCAATAACCCGAGCCTCGCCACTGCTCAATAACCCGAGCCTCGCCACTGCTCAATAACCCTAGCCTCGCCACTGCTCAATAACCCGAGCCTCGCCACTGCTCATTAGGGAACTTGGTGGAGAAAGCAGTGCCGTCTTAAGGCATGGGCACTGGCCCAAGTTCTCACGCTTCCAGAGGGCCTCACGCATCTAGGAGGTATCACGCCTCTAGGGGTGGGGTGGGGGGGGGCTCACCCTCCTAAGGGCATTATGCTGCTCTAGGATGATATCAAGCTTACAGTATTGAGGTTTTTATTGTTTGACAGCGAGAAGAGCTGGGAGGTAGGATGTGTTGAAAGAATTAGAGTTATAAATGCTAATTTGTAGATTAAATTTAACACCCTAAAAGGAAATGTTTCCCTTCATTAAAAAAGACAGATTGTAGCGCTACATAGTGGCATTCGTCCGTCACAATGTGACGATGGTATAGACTTCGCAGGACGAAATCACAAGACCCTGGTATTTTTTTCTTTAGGACCATGAGCTGGTTCCCTAGACAGCTAATCGCCTCTCTCCACGTACCTGGCTAGCCCAAAGGAACACCATATATGGATGATACAGCTTTGCACCATTAGCGTTACATGAGTTGTCGGAATTTTTCATTGTATTAATGTATCCGCCTACGGGACTCCTTCTCCGGGTTTTGATTCAGAGTTTCCTTCTCTTAGATGAGTCACCATCCAAGGTTAAAGGATCCCATCCATCCGAGCGACTGGTGATGATTTTTGCTTGACTTAGTCTTTGGTGGGGATATTACGTGCACACCACAAGCTTGGGACTGACTCAGTTTTGACCACTCGACCACCTGCTACCCAAGCGCAAAACACCCAGCTGAAATTGGGTAACACCAATTACTCTACTGTATAAAGCCATGTATGTATTTTTTATGTATGCCTGATATGTATTTTAATGGATTAGTAAAGAACAAGAAAACGAACAATTGACCGCTACCATGACATGGTGATACCTCCTGACCTAAAGATGGTTCCTGGAAAATTTGGCCAAAGCATTTTACAACAAAAGATGGAAATAAAAATAATGAAGTGTAGAGAATAACGCTAAAAATAATTAAACTCTCAAATGGCTTGACAGTGCCACTCTATAAAAAATCAGGCACGTTCAGATTAATGTTCAGTTCACAAAATCAAATTTTCGATCACACGTTTGATGCGATTTTTGGTATGTAGTCTTGTCACAACTTTCAAATTACTGTTTGATCACATTATCATTTTTGTAAAATTTAAGAAAAAAAATAAATAAAAAAGAAACCACGCACAAAAATAGTGCTTTCATTCATACCAAAAATTAGACGTGAATTGGAAGAAAATTTGATCGTGTGAACTGACACTAGGTTATTTTTTGACGTATACATGCATTTTTAATAAGCCTTTATTCACCACGTTGCGCTTTCAAACATGTAGGCCAATTCGTTGGAGGTTTTTGGCTATCTCTTAAAGATAGGTTTCATTTGAAAAGCGTGTTTTAACTATTGGTAGCACCATATTCTATAAATAAAATAAAATATCTGTTGACTTTTTCGTTAGAAAATAAGGTTCATTGTCATGGTAAAAAAAAAGTAGTGGGAGATTTGATAACTAAATTTTGGGCGTTTTTCAATCGATGTTAATGGGGCATCTCTTCAAAATAAAGTTTGTTCATTAACCAACTTAAAAACATTCATTGCATTTTAATTATTAAAGATAAAATCCTTTTTCCCCCTGCGGCCCTAACAGTGAAAATTTAAAAGGCAACATCTGGCGGAAATTCGATTCAGTTGTAAATAGATAAACGGTCATATAAATTTTAAAAAAAATTTTTAAGTTAGTTTGGTCTTTCAATCATGGTTTTTGACTGGTCCCACCTGGAATATTGATTGAAAGGTACCGGTCCCAAATGTAATGTTTAAAAGAGTTATTTATAAATCAGGCTTTGTATAGCATAACATGTTAAAGTTTGTTTGGTACTTGTTAATGGTACTTTGTAGCTTGTAGTGTTTGTTTCAATGGTGTCTATTCATGACTCTTTTACTGTTTATATCATGTCTATTCATGACTCCTTTACTGTTTCAATGATGTCTGTTTATGACTCGTATTTTTTCAATAATGTCTATTTAGGATTCTAGTATTGTTTCAATGATGTCTATTCATGACTCTTATATTTTTTCAATGATGTCTAAAGGTTGCATCTTGGGACAAAAAATAAGTCATTATGTGTAAGTAATTAATAAGCCCAAACAAGCGGTCATCTCCAAACCAAACAAGCGTTCATCTCAAACCAAACAAGCGGTCATCTCCAAACCAAACAAGCGTTCATCTCAAACCAAACAAGCGGTCATCTCCAAACCAAACAAGCGGTCATCTCCAAACTAAACAAGTGGTCATCTCCAAACCAAACAAGCGTTCATCTCAAACCAAACAAGCGTTCATCTCCAAACCAAACAAGCGGTCATCTCAAACCAAACAAGCGGTCATCTCCAAACCAAACAAGCGTTCATCTCCAAACCAAACAAGCGGTCATCTCAAACCAAACAAGCGGTCATCTCCAAACCAAACAAGCGGTCATCTCCAAACCAAACAAGCGGTCATCTCAAACAAAAGGGCAACAAAATACGATTAGACCAAATAAATTTATTTACACTGATTCTACAGTGACATATTACAAGTGCACAGCACTCAAAACAAAACAAAAATAATTTAAATGGAGCAATGGGGTAAGATAGTTAGGCATAGAATTAGACAAAATGTAAAGTTTCGTTAATTTTAGGAGTTTTTGTTTTGTGCTTTATACATTTATATTGTTGAAAGTATCAACAATTTGAGCTCTAAAACATAGGTTCTCAATTAATCACTAAAAAACACACACTTAAGTTCAAATTGTTTGGTATCTCATTTTACACCTGGTACAACAAGAAATAAGTCATATTAAATCTCTGTTTTTTTAACACTGGAGCAATATCCTCTCCTACTTCCATGGGCCCGTCATTGTGAAACCTCGTCCACTTTTAAAAAGTCCATTAAAACCCATCTGTTTAGGTCCGCCTATGACCTGTGATGCACCCTCCTTGCCCTGCCTCATGTTCTGTCTCGGGTTAATCCTGTAATATAGGCCAAAACATGCCGAAGTGTCCTCGTTTTATAGCCATTTTAATTGTTTCTATAGTATAGTAGTTACTATCCTAATGTCTCATTTTTTTGTAGTTAGTTTACATGTTTTTAATAATTGTAAAGCGCTTAGAGCTTTAAGGTAAGCGCTATATAAAAATGCCTAAATAAATAAATAGATCAGTATCCACTTATCATAAATCATTTGATAGGTCTATCTTAGGCAAAAACATATTCTTATTCTTGGAACTGATGATTTCAGATACCAGTATTTGAAATGGATGGATCAATAAGTGATCAAACTCCTAATTGTATTTGGTATTTTAAATCTTACCAAATCTCATTTCTTAGTTGACAGGGCACAGTGAGGAAAAACAAGAGAACCCCAATAGCAATAGTAAAATGATGGAGTATGACTTCAAGCAATGGTTTCTAACAGATCTTTTATATTGCTTGCAATCATTCAGATTGCTAAGATGAATGCCATTGCATTCTGTAAATAGTGAGTATTAATGACACAAATTTTATTCAATTAACCCAAAACATTTCGGCATGTTCCAAACAAGCCAATCATAAATTGCATATCCCACACTGACACAACCGGCTATTTACTTTCGTCTTACATTCACTCACTATTAGTTTTGTAAAACAACAGGGCTGATATACATTGACTATAAAATGCAGTACAAAACAGCTGTCAAAGAAAAACTTCTTCAAGAATTATGATACAATAATTAGAAGGAAAAAAAAAAAGACCTTACATATTATCAGTGGTTTTACAATCAATTAAAATTACGGTTTAGATATTTTTATTTCATTGCATTAACAAACGATTTTAAGTACTGTAACATTTGATGACACTTATATTTGTATAATATTGACTGTGCCTTGTGTATTGGTAACAGTATGGGATTCAACAGTTGGGATCTATAATAATATTAATATTATTATGTCAGAAGAAAACTACACTTCAATGTAAATAAAAAGGCTGGCAAATACACGTATTTATCTACATAATATGCTGCCCCTCGGTTATCATTGAGTTGTCAATTTACCTGTTACCGTATAACTTTAAGAAGTTAATTTTTACATTTCATGTTAAAAGGTGGACATAAAAAAATTTGGTGCATTTGTACACATGTTCTTAACAAATGATTAATATTTACACCCTGACTGAAATTAATTGGTTTAGATACAAGGTCCTGGTATATAAATATTTTTTGAATCAGCATCATTAAAATATTTCTAAAAAAACATTGCTGGACTAGAGGACAGTGGAATACTATTTTTGTTCTGAAATATGACATCCATACTGTCAAATTTCACATTTCAAGTAACAATTAGTAACATGAAATTATCAGCAGATGGTCTGCATCTGATTTATAGTGAATGTGCTAAGACTATGATAAAAAAAATTAAGTTAAAGGCTGCCAGCAATACCATTTTTGTAATTCAGATTCACAGATCAGATGTGTGCAGCAGTGAGGTAGATCAGCCAGAAACTTTAAATTAAAAAAAAACACAACATTTTAAGTACATTTTAATTTTCAGGTCTCAGTCAATCTCGATACAAAACTGAAGACGCACTTGAACCAACAAAATATATATATTTAGAATTAGTAGCAAAAATATATACCACTGAAAGAGCTCTTAAAAATAAATAAAGTCTCATAAAGCAAGAACAGAATAGAATTTGAGAAATAGAAACTGTCACAAATTATTTTAAAGATACCCTTAACTGCTAAGATAAGATACAGAAGATTTGCAACAATGGAACACATGTTTTTGAGTAAAAGAATACTAAACATCTTATGACTGAACCCAAACAGTATTTTAACTAACGATGGTATTCTTCCATGTTATTGTGCTGCAAAAATTAGGTAAAAAAACATTTAAGGTATCCAGACAATTATCAGGAGTAACTGGCCTTCATAAATAAACCTTTACTAGTGACTCACTATACATATGTACACATATGCTACAAAGTTAAATAGTCTGCATTGTTTGTGCATACCCAGTTGCAGTTACGCCTCCATCCACTGACATGTGTACAATATTCATCTTTCTAGCAAACGTACCTGCCATGCATTCAGGATACACTTGTGGCAACTTTTGAACACTTAAATCAACATTCCTAGAACATTTAAAACATGGATAGACATAAACTTGTTTTTTACATGATACAACAAAATAATATTTAAAATAAAATTACACAATTTCATTTCATTGTCCTGGTCATGTTTATGTACAAGTCTATATATGTAACATTTGATAGCCATGGCGGCGAGATTACAACACAGCAATGTCAACCATGACAGCTCTGATGGCTGGATATTATTAACTGGTGTGGTGTTGCTGAGGTCATCTGCTTAGTGGACGTCATAAAAGAAATAGTCATCCTCTTCATAGTGGGATCCTGAAATAAAGAGAAAAAAAAACCATTTTGAAATGGCCGTTTATTTGTTAACTCTTTCTCTCCAGAACAACGCTCCTATCGTCGATTTGAAATGAAGATTTTGGCGTATAGAGGATGGCATTGTCGATGTATAAAAACCTGTTTATTTTGGCTCTTTAGTTAGCTATTGGTTTTTAGTTATTTAAAATCAATTCCAGAATGATTTCCCTTTGTATCAACATCCGGTTTTTCTGTGTTTGAAAGAGGTTTTGCAGAGAACGAAGTGTTTGAAGCGGTTGCTTTGATTGTCCATTTTATTTTTGTTTACAAACATGAAATCTTGAACTGACCCATCTGGGGATCGATCTAATAAAGATTGAAAATATTACTCTGATGATGATTCAGAGAGTGATTTTATTATTTCAAATGCAGAAGCTGATTCCTTTGAATAGTACGATTATAATCCTAGTAGTAGTAGTGAAAAAATAATGAAATTGGTAATTCATCAGCTGATGAACAACCAGCCCCTCCCCCAGCTAAAGTGCACATCAATATGAATTGTTTTTAGGCTTACCATAGCTAAATACAGATGAAAAGATATGACAAATGGTATGGTAAATGTACCATTTACCATTCTAAATGTTAGTACATACAAGAATACAGTGCAAATATTTTATAATAGCAACAAATTGTTTCCAGTGGAAATAGTTAAATTTTTTTCTCAAATTTTTTTTGTGACGGTGACAATGGATAATGTGCTCTGAGGTTTAATTTTATTCATTTTTTAAGTTGATCTTTATTTTTTGTGATGCACATATGGACATATAGTTAAGAAAAAAAAACATTTTTGTGACACTTTGGATTATATATTTCTCCTTGTGTGACTTGGAATGAGAGTTTTGTGAACAGTTGGTAAGTTTTTTATTTTTATTTTCCTAAAATGATAATCACATTTATATATTAAAATTTAAACCCAAGTCTGGTTTGCTTGTAAAGGGCATACATTCTCCTTTAATTCCATACCAAACTTAGCACTTTCTGATGAAAAAACAAAAAATTTATGAAGGTTTAGAGACAACATAGTAGTGCGTAACAAAAACGCAAAATAGATAATTCTGTCAGAACGCGGAAAATAATTCCGGAGAGAAAGCGTTAATCCATTTTCTGCTGTTCACACAGTTCAAATGGTTCAACTAGATAGTTCATATGATTCATCTCGGTGTTCAGTTCTATTCAGTTTTAAGTCCAGTTTCTTATATTTTTATAAGTTGAGATTTCTTATACCGTAAATCAGTTTGAATCCACAATTTTAAGTTCTTGGAGCCTTCTGCTTTATAATTTTTAAGAATAAATAATTAAGGGCACGAGACATAAGGATCAGAAAACTGTAAACAGCATAGTAAAAGAAGCTTGAGAAGTTATGAGATTATAGAAACCACGTTTTAAAATGTTCAACCATTGTGACTTGATAAAAGTGACAAGTAAGCTTATGTGTATGGAAAGCGATGTCAACAATATCTCAAAATAATACTTTTTTAATCAGCCCGAGCCCATTGAAAGAAAGTTAATGGTGTTCAAGTATTGTCAACCCGATTACCTTCCTGACTCAGCAGCTGCCTTGCACTTAAAATCTTGTTTCTCGCTTCCTCATCTTCATCCTCTTCATCATCTTCCTCATCGTCCAAATCCTCTGTACCGGTAATAGCTGTAAGAATGGAATTGGACATTTATTTTTTTTAAAATGGTTGTAAGTACCTTTGATCAAATTACAAAATAGTTTAGGTATTAATTTCCAATATCTCTTATCACTATGACCAACAAATGTACAATAGCCATTGCAACGTTAGATTCTTTATGTTCAGTTTGAAATACAAATATTATGGCAGTAAAAAACATGATACCTTCTTCTACATAAGGTAAAGGTTCACTGCTTTCTTCAACAAGGATTGCTGGTTTGATTTCTTCTTGACTTGCCAGTTTAGACTTCTTAACATCTTCCTCTGGTTCCTGTATCCTCACCCTTTTTGCGGGGATTTTCTGATAAAGAAAAAATAAATAATTTGAGATTAAATCACTTACATTATCTTTTTATCTTATTTGTATTCCAAAATTCTCTGGATATTTTTAAATTCTTTTATTACGGGAACAAATGTTTACAGAAAGATATGAAAAGATATTAAATATTTACAAGTATAAGAAAAACTTTTATATTTGACCTATAATTTATTATAAGCAGATTTCAGTTGGTATATCACCAACTATGTTTAAATTACATATTTCTTTTCTTTTAAATGCAGAAGGCATTAACTAAATGATAAAAAAAAAATATAATGATGAATAGCTAAGTTGATTATATTGTACCTTATTTTTATTGGGCTCTGATATTGATGATTTTCTAAATCTGCAAGAAAAAGTTAATCTTATTAAGTTTAATTTGAAAAGTTACAATGGAAACTTAACAATTTTATTTTGTTTAAGAGGTTCGGATGAACAATTGACATTCATCAAATTCATGATTTATTACCTATTTATCATCTGTGGCTTTCTTTCATTACTGTCATTGAATGAATCATCTGGGAGTTCAATAGGGACTTTGTTCAACTGTTCACCTGGAGCTGTAGCATCTAATGTATTGAGAACATTATAATTGATCTTATCAGAAAACTTTTTCTCCCTCATGTCTTTTTTCAGTATTTCCATGCACTCTGCCAGCTCTGTTTCCAGATCATAGCCTCCTTTTTTCTTTTTCTTTTTGGTCTTGGGCTGTGACAAAAAAAACAACAGAAATATATAATAAAGAACAGCACTACTATTTTTCACCCAGGAGCACTTTAATTCCTATTGTATATTTTATCATGAATGAAACTTTAAACAGATTTAAACAGTTTACTTACATTCTTCTCCTTTCTCTTTGCAGCTGCTTCTTCTTTAAGTCTTCTCTTTTCTTCTCGCTCTATTGAATAAAAATATGTTTGTTTCATGACATTAGCATCAATGGAATATAATTTTTAAATATTTTTTATTACTGAATATATATTATACTAAAATAATCTTTTCACTGATTTTTATCTGTCAGAACTGGATGTTAAGTATAGTTTATCAATTATTACATTTGATGTATTAAATATCGAATTCTTTACCTCTTACAATTTCCATATGCTCACCAAACTCCAAATCAAACCATTTTGCTTTATGCATGGCCTCTTCTTCTGACACTATAAGCTGAATTAAGACATCAATCAGAACATTAAAAAATCAGATATATACATATACAGTGGGGTCTCGGAATCTGAATTTAATCTGTTTTATAAACTTGTTCGAGTTCCAAATCCTACTAGGACCAAGACAATTTTGTCCCTTTAAAATAAAAGAAACTGGAGTCATTTGTTCCTGAATCCAACAAACTCAATGAACCACAGTCCTTTTCTGAAAGTTCTTGAACCACTCCCTAATGGCTTTTAACTCCTCATTTTGAGCACTAGTTTCAGGCCTTTCACTAAATCATTGTAGAGGACCTTGCAGAAAAATAACATGAAATGCTTTCACTACAGCTTCTGACAATGACTTGAATGACAAAGCATATGGGTGGCCATGGCGCTGGGACAATGCACACACACGGAAAAAAACAACAAAAAGAACATGCTGGGCATTTGCATACCACAGCAGTGTTCGGAATAGTGTCACAGATGAGATAGTGGTGTGAGGTATGGCCCATACTTATAGTTGCGTACCAAGTAGTATTGGTGTTAATTAATACGGGGGGCCGAGCCTCTCTGTGATAGTTCAGTTATCCAGACGTTGAGGAATACAACACAAAACCTCAATGAATGACCGAGAAATTCCCCAGTAACAGTTATAAATAAAAGGATGTATTGATACATCTAATATATTCCAGCAATGTTTCTTTTCCAACTGTTAACATCCATTAATCTCAAACGCTTAAAACCCCAAAACATTACCCACTTCCAATTGCACCGGAGCTCATTCATCATTTAATAAATGTGGTGCCTCATGTGGGGAAGTTCCAAAAAAAAAACCCCACACCATTGCTCACTGATACCATTATCAAAAGAACACATAATAAAATAAAATCATAACAATGCGTGTCCACCCTATAAATTACCTGCAGAAGCAATGGAGTTAAACCCTACCCCAGTTATTTGTGATAAATAGGAACAAAATTTTGCTAGAAATTTTCATTCCGATTGCAAGTTGTTCAAGTTCTAGGGTGTTAGGATTCTGAGGACCCACTGTATATTGACAGGAAAGACAAATTTTTGGTACTTATAAAATAAAAGTGCAAATGGTAGTTACAGGTTTTTAATTCCATCCAAACATGCGTCTATTGAAAAACAAATACTGATTTACTATTTCATTTATAAAAAGGGAACCAATGCAGTGAGACAGTAAAAAGGTATTTGGTCCCATATCTGCAGAAAAAAGCCTTTTCACCTTTTATAAACAAACTCTGTTCTTAAACTGTCGTGTAAATAATTATGTATATCACCTGATCTATCTCATCATCATCAATGCCTGTCAGGTCAAGTTCTCCATCTTCACATTTAGCTCCAGCACTTTTTATAGAATCATCAGTTTCATCCTTATCACCCTGTGATATTTCATCTGTCTTTTCTTGTTCTTTCTCTGGTTCAACATCATCTGTAGATAATAAACACAAGGCAATGAATATTTACTATTGAGCTACTAATTCATTAAGTAAGTAGTGATAGCGTCAACAGTTTTTTTAAAAAAAGTTGACATTTAATAATAAATCATGATAAAAAAATGTGCAATTGTAATTTTAACATCTTTTTAAATATAACTTGTTTAGCAAATGTAGTCTGAACTGAAAGCCCTATTATTATTATGGTCAGCGTCACACAAGCTTTCACATTCAAATAATAATTTTGTAAGGTGCACTGGAAATGATGAAGCAATTATCCACCGTTTCAAGGATAGACTTTAATAGTAGCAAGCAAGTCTGAAAATCTTTGCTTTTAACAAAAAATTATTTTCAAATTATCATAAATCAGGGTTTGAATTTTATAGATGGTATGACTTGATGTACTGGCACCGGCAGTCTCCAAAGCTTGCTTTTTTATAGAATTAATATATTTCATTACAATTTTTTTTTCATGTTTAACATGTTTCATTATATGCAAATCAGTGGTAGAAGCAACATTTGTTCTATAAGACTTGTATTTGCAAATATACTAAGCGAATGGTTGTTTATGCCTTATGTTAATCATACAATTATCTATGTTGATCTAATGTAAATTTTATGCACAGGATTCTTTTAAAAAATTGCAAACCTTTAGCAGTCTCTTCATTATCATTTGAGTCTCTGACCAGATAATCTTGATTATTTTCATCTTCAAGTCCTTCCCACTCTCCTTTCTTCCAGTCCTCCCCGGCTACTTTTATTATTGTTTCTTCATCAATAGCCTTCACTGCTGAGTCTATGTCAGTCACAACTTCATCATCTTTAATGGGGAATACATTTAAAAAATAAAATAAAATAATCATGTTTCATCTTAATATCTAATGACCTATTTCAAATGTTTACTTTCTTATGATTTATAGTTAATGCAAGATCATGAATAAGATAACAATAGAGATAAAGACAATGCATATAAGAACACACTCACCAGTAGTGATATTTGATTTTCTCTTCAGTGATTTGTTAATATTTTCCTCAAACTTTGTCATTTCTTTCATCATATTATCTGGTATGTCTTCTTTTAACTGTTCATGAAAAAGATTTTTTTAAGCAACAATTTTTTTATTTAAATCATTTTTGGTGTATGTATTGTCTTTTGCAGACCTGGTGACCCTGGAACGCCCAAAAAAGTACAATACCGCCTCAGAATAGTAATATACATTTTCAAAACAGGAAAATGCACTATCATAATACCATATAAATAAGCATACAGTATAATTTCTACAATGACGACTCGTAGTGTGTGTCCAGCTGCAATGGGTTAAGCTGATGACAAAAGTAGATAACTGACTTTTATATTGCAATCTGCCGTCACTTGGTTTTGCAGGTGTTTATTGTCTAGAGATATCAATTAATATGAGGGTGTACGTGCAGGTCACATTATCGCAAACTGTCAATGGTAAAAATACAGTTACTGTTGAAAAATAAACTGGTTCACACTTGAAGTCAGTTCAGCATAAATAACATTTAATTTACAAATGATGACATCATTTACAAAATCTACCAAGTTACTTGAGGTTTATTTTTAGAAAAAGTTGTTTTTTGTATAAACATTATCATCTATTAAGCCTAGGTAGGAGACTGGATTTATTTCCTGTTAACATATGGTCTAATAATTAAAGCAAGCTATTAAGTGGGGGACTTACGGAACCAAACTGGGTTATTAAAATCTTACAGCTACTTTTTGATGTCTAAAAATAGATTTCCAATGCTGCTTACTAGATCTTATATATAGAATTTCAAAATCTAATGTTGCTGTGGGGAACATTTGAGAATGTATTAACACAAACAAAAATTTACTCCTTAATTATCTTTTTTTTGACACTGTTCAGTTGAACTAAATAATTATGTCACCATTATGTAGAACGTCTATTTTTACCCGTGCTGTAAATTTTGTATCAATCTAGCGCTGTAAATTTGTATCAATCTAGCAGACGCGTTCATGTGGGCATGTCCTAATATTCTTTTGATCTTTGTTTACCACAAACAACCTATTGCCTGTTTCTCTGGACTCGAATGTGATACGAAATAGTAGTATATTCTGGAAATTTGGAGAAGATTCGAGTCACGAATACAATATGTATTCTGCTTCCGAATCTTCTTAGAAACAGGCGATACCCATATATAAGGCCGGGGAATTGAAAGATGAAGAAGGACGGAGATTCAGATAGGAATTATTAACTTTACGAGATGCGTATTATTCTTTGTGTATTTGTGTGCTCATACTCATATTATGTGTTTATTTCGCATTCATCATTATTCATTGGCACATTATTCTAACTTTATTAACTGTGTACCGGTACAAGATCTACCATACTGTAAGTTGAAGATTGTGATTATATTTTATTTTATTTTGTAATTATATATCTAGACTTAATAAATCTTATTAATTGTAACTAGAAACTGTTTTGGGTGTTGTATCTTTAATATTATTGATTCTATGGTCTTGTCCTTTGTTAGGCACTTTTTACAACGAGACAATTAAAATAGGAAATTAATTTCTCATATTAGAAGCCAGTGCGTAACAGTCACAAAATTACATCATGCAGCAAAAAAAAGTTGAATGGTGATTAAAGTTGTCACTATCAGGACTACTATAAATATTACTGTTGTAATATCTAGCACGTTTTTTGTGAAAACACGAAGCATTCCTATGTAGATCATCACAAAATGTGTCTGTGTTATTTTTATAGCCTTTGAAATTATTTAGACACCTCCTCCCTACCCACCAGTTAACAATAGTGTTTTATTTACACTAATTGTGTCTCCTTAATCTACTTGAAAGCTTTATCACAGACTATGACTCCAAGAATTCCAGACTTCAGTATAAAACGAACACAATTATAAATTACCTGAGCAAGTTTAGCTTTCTTCTTCCCTTCTGTAAAACAAGGTGGATCCTGTTCTTCCTCTAAGTCCACATTGTCAAATTCTTCTATAGTAAGTTGTGCAGATGGTGTGCTTTCAAACTCTAGAAGCCTTATAACACAAATATATGGCATATATAGCCTCAAACATTAAACAATAAGAAGAACAGAATAGGAAACTATTCTACATAACATTACATTTTCTTAACTTTTAAAACGTATTAACTTTTAATGTGCTTGATGGATAAGTCCATAACTATGAAACACAATAAGCAAAAATAAAAAATTGATGAAATGCTGCATGATTATTCTCATGGTTATGTTAGCACAGTGGTGAAATAAAAAAAAAAAGTTTTAAAAAAAAATTAATTAAATTAAATGGTAATTTTAATTTGGAAATAAAATGATTGTATTTTATTCAGCTCAGCAAAATGTGTCCCTCTTACCTCTTCCTCACAGTACTTTCACACACCTTGACTACTTTAATGATTTGGTCTATAGTTCTATTAAAGTTGTGCATTCTAGAGGATATGAGAAGAGCTGTTCAAAAGAAAAGAAGAGCATTAAGCCATGACATATTTTAAGTTACAAGTGAGCGATAGCGGTCCAGGAACCTATATATTCTTTAATAATGCATTAATAAATAACTTTAAAAATCCAATATATTATCTAATCAATGGAATAGCATCACCATTTAAGAAATAGCTTAAGGGTTTTATGAAAATTCAATATCAAATTTATTAATCACTTTTAAAATGAAGACTCATTAAACAATGTGGTATTTAAATGTGAATAGGCAATTATCATTTTAAAATGAATGCCATTAAAGTTTTAAAAATAATAATTTTCAATCTATTACAGAGAATTTACATAAAAGATGTAGTTAAATCGATAATTCATAAGCAAATTCATATTTTAAAAAAATATAAGTTTTTTTCTTTTTATTATAATTATATATATTTATATATATACAGTTTCCTTGTTTTTTTTTTTTTAAAGGCGTGTTTGTGGACGGTAGGGACAGGGACAGAGAGAGAGAAATATGCTAATTATATTGTATAGTATTTTCTAAAAACGTTTTCTTATTGTGTGATTTGTATTACCCAATTTAAAGCCAGATATTATATTTTGCAAAAAATTCTGAAGATTTCATTTTAATTTCAACCTACATCTCTTAACAAAATCTGTAGACTAAGATTTTTACTACTGCTCATTTTAGTTTTTAATTAGGAGCGTAAAGAGTTGTAGAAAATACGTTGTAAACAAGAAACATTATAAGATTTTTTTATATTTAAATATCCTGAAACTATTTTTGAAAAAACAAAAAAAGTTTTTTAATACACATACCAGCCCCACATAGGCCGGCAGGTCTGCGACCAGTGTGCATCCAGTCTCTTTTCATCCTAGCTACCAAACGAGATGCAGACTCCACCACCCTATTGATTTTATCTCCAAACTGAAGCTGATTTGCAAACCGTCGTATATAGATTATAGGATCTAAAAGCATAAAATGCATATTTTTATTGTAAATAATCAAATACTTTTCATACGCACAATAAAAAAATTACGTACTATTAGTGTTTTACAAATTTCTGCATGAACCAACATAATGTATTTTATTAATACACAGGGAATTGTGGGATTTAGTTTGTTCTGTTAAATAGCTTATAACATACTAGAATTTTCAATAAGATCCACCAAGGGACAGTGAAATGAAATGAATTAATGAAATAAAATAAAAGTAAAATACATATTTAAAATCATAAGTCTGCTTCATAATAACTGTACGAAAGTACATACCCACAATCCTTATATTCTGGCACAGTTCAGTTGCCAACTGCACAAATATCCTACCAAGAACATGAACATTAACCTGATTAGTAGAGAGGAAAATGTATATGTATTAAACTTATGATTACTATAAGTTTAATGATTAAAATATAAGTTTATATCTCTAAATCCTTATATTTACATTAGTTTTATAAAAATTAAAATTTACACTAATTAAAGCCAACATTATTAGGCATAATCCAAGAAAATAATATGAACAAAAATAAATTTGTGCTCACCTGGATTAAATCACTAAAATCAATAAGCATCAGTATTTTAAGTTAAGGTAAATAAATATTTCTCTTTCCAAAAAAATAAATTCCTTAGATAAATGCATTTCATTTTCGCTGTTTGCTTTGTGTTTGTGAAGAAATTAAACTTATATGTAATTGTTAAAAATAATGACACACTTTTATGCATAAAGGATATATTCCAAATCTTCACTGCCTCCCGGGTCCACTCGGCAAACAAGATACAGACATGAAGCTAAAACATATTCCATTTTCCTTCCGCTGGTGAATCTATGGGCTACTGCAAGTTTAAAAAACCCAAATGCTGTTTCAATACTGCTGTGGTGCATACGAAGCTGACCTCCCATTTCTTTTAATCGTTTATAACCTAAAAGAATATTTCAGTGTACATATTAATATTAAAAGCAAATAAGTCTTATCAGGTAGGCAGATGCAAGCATTAGAATTTTAAAAGATATTTGATACCAGTAATGGCAAACAACTAATGACAGCTCATCACAAACAAAAGTCAAGGCATATAATTCAGATTGCTTTTAGTGAGCATTTTACAGAACATAGGACTTTAGCATATATTCCATAAACAACTTATATGGATACATCATAAAAGTTTTTGCCAAGTTTTTAAAAACCTATCAGCTAAAGCTATAGATACCTGACTTACCATTTTCTAAAGTCAAATTTCTTGAATCTTCAGAACTAAATCCATGTCCATAAGCTCCACGGAAAGATTGTGCTCTTGACCCTGAGACAATATCAGCAAAAAAGTCATGTTCATGGTTTAAATCACATTCATGGCAATTTTCTATGATACAGTCTCTTAGGCATAAATAATGTGTTTTGTCGAACTATATTAGATTCAACATAACCCTACACCAAAGTAAAAAACAAAATGGAAATAGAAATTTTTACTTTTAAAAAACTATGTCAACTTCTTATGTGCAATGATTTTTTTAAAGTTAAGAGACAATGACCTATGCTGGAAGTGAAATTCTTAAGAAGATTCTAAATATTTATTTCATACAGTGTAAGTTAACATTCCATTTTTCCCTTTAAAAACTAACTTAATGATATGATCCTACAAAGTGCTACTGTTTTGACTATATCTTATTCTAAATATATGATGCTTACCTTCACCCACACAAAAAGAAGAAATAAAGAAGAAAAAAAGATGAAGTATATGCCAGCAAAAATCATGCAGCTTCGAATATATAAATTATATCAACGTACCATCATTTGAAACAAACTGTCCAATAACAGAAGCTCCACCAGCTGAATTTTCTTGATATTGAACCTCTGAAACAATAATCTGGTCTTCTAAAACAGTACCACAGTTAGTACATACTGCATCACCTCGGGCTGGATCAGTGTCAATATCTGTGCAGCCACACTGAGAGCAGGCTCGAGGCATGATGTTTTACAACTATATACCTGAAGAATTTAATAATGTTAATGTTATAGTAGAAGTATTTGCAAACCCTGTAAAATTTTAAGTGTAATTAATTAGACGTTTCACTTCTAATCCACCATACTATATTGCCTATATGCCTATCTTTAACCTATAGTTAAGAGTCTAAAAAAATGAAACAATTTAGAATTAAACCCTAGTATGTCATTTAAATTGACTGTTCCCCTGATAAAATAAGTAGGAAAATATAGGAGATTCATCAGTATCATGCTCATCACAAAAATGTATTTTTTATCAGAAATCAGCTCTAAATTCTTGGCCTTAGGGCTAGGTCTATCATCTGCTAAAAATCGACTATAAAAGGCGAAACAATATCCTCAGTAATTTAAAAAGTGGAGGTTGCCATTTTTTTGAATATGGAATTAGGATACCCATTTTTGGGCGTTTCCAGGCGATACTGATGTGCCCAGATTATAGCTATCTTTAAAAAATAAATAATTGGCTAATGAAAAGAGATGTCGCCATGATGTCATTTACATATTTTTTTTTTAGTTTCTGTTTTGGATTCACTCCCCTTATTTTTTGTTAATAGAGTTAAATTTGCCATGATGATGGCATGTTTTAATTAAATTTTTATTGGTTAATTAATTATAATTTAAAAATTTGATTTTAATTTTTCCGCCATATTTGAAAATGGATTCGGCATAAACGCCTTAAACGGCATTATATTTTATTCATTTTCTGGATATTCTTTTCGGTGGAACCTGAAATAAAGTGTGTAAAAGTGTATTCTATGAAACTGTAAGTTGGATTTTCATTATTTATTTATTTATAAATTATTTTTTTTATTGTTTACCTTCATTTTTATAGTTTTCTTCTAGCCACAGTGTGTAACTGCAGCCGCACACGTTTTTCACTTGCGCTTTAGGCTTAGGGCTAGTGTTAGGGCTTGATTTAGGGTTCAGGTTAGGTTTAGTGACAGTGAAATATTTTGGGTGTGTACCAACTGAATTATGTGAAGAAAAGGAGCGACCGCAGGTCATTGAGGCTTCTTGCCAAATATCTAGATAGATACAATAAAGTAGCTACGCTTACCAGGAAAATTATGTACCGGTGGAATTTTTGCATTAAATTTTATTGTTTTATTCCTATTTCTAGCAAAAGTGAGTTATTTTATTTCTACACGGCCGCCATCATGGATGCAACAACCTGTGAACCCATAAAAGTTCACGGGTCGTGGCAACTAAGATGGCGGCTGTGTGTTACGTCAGGGTCGGCGAAATGGGCCAGTCAACACAATATTCGGAGTTATAAGATAGTAAAATGGTCTGAAGGTCAGTCTAGCTCCAATACTATCCCTTCGAGATGAATCTCGGGAAGATCGAAAGGGGATTTTCAGGGACTATAAGATGTCTTAACCCTCTGGAGACGGAGCCTTTTCGGGGTGTATGTGTCAAAAAGACGGAGCAATTTTTACGAGCTCGAGACTCGCATTGCAAAAAAATTTATAAAAAATAAACTATTTCCTTAATATATGTAAAACTATATATATTCTTGTAGGAAATTGAATGAACTAATACAATCTTTATGAATCAATCTGACATATCAAAATTTATGCAAATGAGGTACCCTTATTTGCATAATTTATGCGTGTAATTTTTTGTTACACCTAGAACAAACATGACTTACTAGTATCAATTGTGTGAATTTTTTGATGGATGAAGCCTGAATAAGTCCTAATACTTATTTTTTGGGGGAAAAGGGCCCATGAAGGCCCTTCAGACACCTCTGGCACATGGTTCTACTCCTTTCCCACCCCCACCCCCTATTTTTCAGTTGTTACAGACACACTGTAACAGGCCCCCATTTATAACCTAGGGACCTTCTCTTAAGCTGAATGTTACTGACAAATGTGTCTGCATATCAATTGGTCTCTCTCATTAACAATTGAGTGATATTTAGTGTAAAAAATAGAATAAAATACTCAAATGGGGTGCTTATGACTTATTTATAGGACTTATGTTGTCTAAAAATTCAGAGGGGTCATCTCTGTCCATTTGAGGACCCCTAATACTAGTAATACTAAACCAAGAGTTCACAACATTAGCATTACCCTCAATTTGAAAGTCTTCATTAATTCCCTGGTTGTTTTCAGCAGTTTCAGTGTCAAATTCACTGCTAGAACCCCCATTTATAACCTAGGGACCTTCTCTTAAGCTGAATGTTACTGACAAATGTGTCTGCATATCAATTGGTCTCTCTCATTAACAATTGAGTGATATTTAGTGTAAAAAATAGAATAAAATACTCAAATGGGGTGCTTATGACTTATTTATAGGACTTATGTTGTCTAAAAATTCAGAGGGGTCATCTCTGTCCATTTGAGGACCCCTAATACTAGTAATACTAAACCAAGAGTTCACAACATTAGCATTACCCTCAATTTGAAAGTCTTCATTAATTCCCTGGTTGTTTTCAGCAGTTTCAGTGTCAAATTCACTGCTAGAATATCAAAATTACTAAGCACAGTTTGATCAGAGTCACTGTCAGACATGTTCGAAATTCACGATGTAACTACACACACACAAAAAAATTCCTGCAAACAAATTAATTGAGTTCACCTTCAACGAACGCCGCCATTACAATGCCGGGATGTGCAGGAATACGTATGAATAATTTTGATTCGCTGGTACAACGCCAAGCCAGCCAATCGTGAGGCTCGATCTATCAGGCCAACGGCTCGGACTTGACGTCTTTCTCGCTAGTGTACCTCGGGCCGATAGATCGGCCCTTACGTCTCCAGAGGGTTAATATCCTATTGGGTGAATATACAACGTCAAAGGCCCCGCAAAATTCAATTTGCCCAAGGCCCCGCACCCTCCTAGCGTTGGCCCTGGTTACATCATGGCGCCATCTCTTTGCATTTACCAAATAATTATAAAAATAAAAAATTAACTTCTGTGTTTGCTAAGAGAGGCTACAACGGGTAAATGTTGAGAAAGCTACCCGGGGTTTCCGCCATCTTGGTTGACAAAAAAAGTTAATTCTGTCACTAAACCTAAACTAAATCGATCCCTATGCCTAACACTAACCTGAACCCTAAATCAATCCCTATGCCTAACCTGAACCCTAAATCGAACCCTATGCCTAACCTAAGCTAGATACTTCGATGAAACAAGGGAGACTACTACTTTTTGTGTATCGAAAATAGAAATCGGCGCCGAAAAATCTGAGTTTTTAATTTTCCAAAGTGATTGTCTATTTATTATTAAATTAGTACTTTCGATATATATTTGAGTTCCGTTTTTGGCCTTATAATTAGGTAGACATCTTGGCCTACATTTTAATCAATTTCTATTTTATTTATCAGTCAGCTTTGAGAAAATCCTTGGTAAATGTAAGGCAACTTTCATCATTAAAATTAAGTCGAAGTAAAAGATTTGTCACTACCAAATTTTTATTTCATCTGGGGAATGTATTGATCTACATGTATGCCAATTTTCACAGGAATATGTGTCTTACGATAGACGCCATGTTTCTATGCGTTCGCAGCAGGTCATGCAGTTCGCTCAACCTAATTTCGCCACGCCCCCTATTTAATGGCGGAAGTTGCTGATACTTAGGAAATATTAATTTATTAACACTATTTACATCAAAATATTTGATAACTTGTGTTTCAGAATGCATTTTGAAGACATTTAAACTGGAATGTTTTAATTCGAGCTTTAACAACCCGGTAGAGTCCATATTATAAATGATCAGAATTTACCGTGTGCAACATGTTGTCATTGGCAACCATTCACAGCCACTTGCATAATGGCTGTATCGTAGTACTATCTCAGAGTTTCATTCATAAGAGTTTGCCATGTGCAAAAACTACTATACCATATTGGTCAGGGAAAGGCTTTAATTAATTATTCATGTGCCAAAGTTGAAAGTTTAAACTAAGTCGACCCTAAACAGTATTTTAGTGATAAGGCTAAGGCAATGCGTTGCCTTATATAAAGTATATAGTCATTGCGCATGACGCGATCAGCGGAATGAGGTCACAAGATGTGGAGGTTTCGTCCATAGTAAAAAATACAAAACGAACTGACACTTTAAAAATTCATAGCTCAAAAAGTACTTTAAGCTAAAAAGTTGATTCTGGTTTCATTTTTTTATTTGAAATTTGCTCTAACTAACGTGTTCTTTAAAAAATTATTTCAATTTTTTTAAAATTTTGTAATCAAGTACCTACCTAAGCCTAAACCCTAAGCCTAATTCACTGCAACTATAACTATAATAAGCACGCAAATGACGTCATGTGTATGATTCTCAACAATAGCCGGTTAACTTAAACCGGGGTTCACGAATCATAGCTCATCAACCTGGGACCAAACATAAATATTTAAGAAAAAAAAAAAGACTCAATGGAATTGAATGTGAAATATATGATGCTGAAAATGAATGATCTCCCTGCTGATTCACTGATTAAGATAAATAAATGGCTAATCGCGGAATAGACGCTTACCCAAGCGTACCACGTATGTTGATTTTACTTTAGAATTTCAATAAATAATATTAAATAACAGTATACGAATACTATCTATAACCTTATCTGGTAAAGTAAGTTAGCAATTGAAAAACACTCTGGTAGAGGCAGTCATTAGTAGCCATTACTATGTTTAACACGCCATCTTGGTCAGAGGAAACGCAGGAGTTATGGATAAATTTTCTAAAAAATATTTTATCAAGTTTTTAAAAGAAATTAATCATGTTCCTATACACAAGTATTATAAATAAAATATAAATTACACTTAAAAACTTTTTCGAACATAAGTTGGCGTCAAAAGAAATAAATTAAATAATAAAAATATTTTTTAAGTTTCCGTAACAAAGTGAAGTACTAACAGGCATTAAATATAAGGCTTTTAAAAAACAAATACAAATTTTCTTTAGGAAATAAAATAAAATAATTTCATGTTCAAACGGGACGAAATTAAAAATTTTTTTAAAAAAATTATAATAATTTAAAAAAAAAAATCCCAACCCCCCCCCCCCCCCTCCCCAGTTTTAAGCTAATTTTAAGCTTAATTTAAAACAAAATTTCAGTGCCACTCTACTGAACTTTCCTAAAGGCTCGTGCTAGTAGTAGTAAAGTTAATAACATGATATCATGCAATGTAATAATTTTTAAATATGTTCTTAGCTACATTACAGAAATGCTTAGTTCTCAATACAGTAGAGCAGGGATCGGCAACCATTCTTGACGACGGTTGCTAACACCACGGGCATAATGAATAATTAGTCCACCGACGACATTTTTTTCCTAGCCTTTAGATAAGCAAATCTTTTGATTGCACTTTCTATTTTTCTTCCATGGCGCCCACATGCAATGATTTTTGCATATTTTGGAAGATCTTTGAAGGCAACCTAAGCACATAGCGCCGCGGGCAACTTCCCAAGTTGCCGGTCCCTAGAGCCGGGCCTGCCCATATGACTTGCATGATCATAGTATCTAAAAATCAAAACACTTCTTTTTTTTTTTTTTTTGGACAAAATGAAACACAAAACAAGAAATTGGTGCTATTCTGACATAATTTAACTAAGGTTCCCTCACGATGATTGAGTTCATTGAAGCAAATTAAAAGCCGGGCCTGCCCATATGACTTGCATGATCATAGTATCTAAAAATCAAAACACTTCTTTTTTTTTTTTTTTGGACGAAATGTAACACGAAACAAGAAATTGGTGCTATTCTGACATAATTTAACTAAGGTTCCCTCACGATGATTGAGTTCATTGAAGCGAATTAAGTGCATTGTTAAAACCCTAGCTTGCACCCCATAAGATAACTCCATTATTTCTCTCAATGCCTGTTGATGAATAAAGCAATGAAGAACAGTAGCCTTGAAAGAGAAAACATTTTAAACCAGCGGATTACAACCTGTGGGTCACGACCCCTTTGGGGTAGCCAGAGACCATCGAAAAAAAAACATATTTATGAAGTAGCACCGAAAATAATTTTATGGTTGGGGGCAATGTTTCCTCTAAGTTTTGCTGGTTCGTGTTCAAAATCAAGCAGATATGTTCAAAATTTTACAGCACCATTATTTTGTGTGCATAATTTTACATCGCACAAACACAAACACCGAAATTACATATAATGAACTTAAGTGCAGAAACTTTTATATAAATACAAAAGTGACTATAATTAAATAATTATAATCAGAAATGTCACAATAGTTCAATCAAATCTATATTTATTTCTATTATTTATCCCGTCGTTGGGTCGAGCAACTAAATTTCAATACACCCACAACCAATGGCCGCTAGTCATTTGTTTGACTCATTTCTGGAGGTACTCTGGCGTCTGTCTTTCAACGATATCCATCTTTTATACACATCGCCAAGGTTGAGCTGATGGCCATCATTCTGATACGATTTAATCCTCGTAACTCTTCCAGCCTATTTCTAGATTTTTATTTTTATATTATTATTAGGGTGAATCAACGTTCACAGTCAGCGCTTGATGCCAGAGATGTAGCACAAATATCCAACAGAGTGCCAATGTCACCGAATTGCTCCTCATTTATTACAAATCGAACCATCTCATCGAAAGTCTGCATCAACCCACATTTAATTATTTTTTTTTTCTGCAATGCAATCTCAAACCTTAAGTTACGATACTGATTCTCAACTTTCGGCAGAATGTCATCATAGTTTTTCAGGAATGCCGCATATCTAGAAACCCTTGCTGCAAGTTCTTCTTGGCCAAAATTAAAATCTGAAGTGCCGATTAACGCTGATATCTCAAAGATTCGTCATTGCATCAAATCGCTTTCAAGGAAACGACAGTCCAGGCGCAAACATAAACATTCAACGAATTTTAGGATGGAACTCATGTTTATATCCTCATCATTTGCAAGCATTCAGCAACCTCTTCGGACCAGTGCACATTTTCAACAAGGTACTTGGCACGGAGCCTAGCAATCCTAGTTTTTTACAAACTGGCATGCGTCGATGGTCGTAAGATTTTTTCTTTGTACCAGAATTCATAATTCAGCTTGCTTGATCGAGTGTGCATCGGTAAGTATGTAAATCAATAGTTTTACGTAAAAATAGAAGACACAAAATATAGATCTGTGGCTTCTGTGTGATAGCTGCGCGGCCGCGCAGCTTAAAGGGAACAATGAGGAACTGTATAACAGGGTCATGGCATTATGAACGTTGAGAATCATTACTTTAAACAAATCTTGTACATTTGCCCAAAACTCACCGCGCAAGATTTTACCGTCAACTGCTGTGACACACTTTAAGTTTGTCCTACAAAACTGGTACTGACCAATACATTTTTCTCCCCCCCCCCCCTGTTGTTTATTGCATACTATGCACAGACGCTAATTCTTCTGTGTCTTTAAAATCGCCATGGACTCCACGGGCCGGATAAACTGAGGTCGCGGGCCGGACGAGGCAAGTTGAAGTTGTTTCGGATAACTACTTTTTTGTGTGTAACCGAACACACCTGAAGGACAGGTTGCGTTAAAGCATTTAGCTCAAAGAATACAATAATATATTCTAACAATATGCCCGTATTTAATGGTTCTTTATTGTACAATGTTTTATGTACAGTAATCATCAACGGTATGTCGGGGTCAGCTGAATGATGTCTAAATCCGGTAAAGAATGGAAAACATTTTCTATGAAAAGCGGTTTCTTTCTCAAAAACTAATTTAAAAAAACAACGAAAAAAAAAAAAAAAGTGATGGGCGCTTAGAATAAAAAAAAAACCTAGGTCATTTTGTAATTGCAAGCTTTATTCTGCGATATACATCAATTAATTAATAAGACAGGGGCCGTTCGGCCGTTCAATGGACTGAAGTTGTCGCTTATTAAAAACAAATTCACCTGGTTCTGATATTGTGCGTAAGAATTAGTCAGTGTAATATTTCGACGTGGGCTACTCAGTAGCATTAAAGGGGCGGCGGCTACGGGTCGATAACCGGATTTGATGAACGTTTTTTGGTTCCCCTTTTTTCATTTGTGGTGGTGCTGGTAAACTGAACACGATGGTTGCCATGGTTGCCGTGCGAATATCATATTCTATATTCTAGAAGTTCTTTGTGGAGATATTAACATTCTTATTTGGCACAACTTCAGACCAATGTTCACTTTAAGCTGCGCGGCTGCGCGGCCGCGCAGCTATCTCACAGACGCCGCGCATCAGTTTTGAGTACCCGCGCAGCAAAGTTCCATGTAAGTGTGTGTTTGTGACTGTGGGCTGTAAAATGTTGCACACAAAAAAATTGATGCTGTAAAACTTTGCACACAGCTGTATGATTTTGCACTCGAATCAAAAAACCTTAGAGGGAACATTGCTTCAGACCCAATGTACTGATATTTGAAGAGATTGTAAGGCTGTTGGCGACATATAGACACGTCAGTTTATGAACCACGTGGAGATGTTATGCTAAATGGAAATCTGTTTGTGTTTACAAGTCAAGTCCATGAGTTTGTATTAGAAGTTCTGTATACTGAGTCTGATACTCTACCCCGAGATGGCTATCTTGAACGTTTAGAACTTACTCTTATTTTCTTAGTAACAGAACCCCCACGGGGTATAAGATTTCGGGCCCATGGTGCTTGCCACCATGCCTACTGGATATCAAAGCTGCTCTATGAGCTGCAAATGTACATGATTCGAAACCAGTTTCAACTGGCGAACAAGGAAACTTTTTGTCTTGACTTCAATCATATCATAGTGTTAATATATGTTAAGGTCTGGAAAACATGTCAATATACTTCTGATGACATGTCCAGGTACTTCTGATGGCGTGTCTAGGCACTCCTGATGACATGTCCAGATACTCCTGATGACATGTCCAGGTACTTCTGATGACATGTCCAGATACTCCCGATGACATTTTCAGGTACTTCTGATGCTCCTTTCAGTGATCTCAATTTGATTTTTATCGCATCATACTTACCATCATACTTACCATCATTCTTACCATCATTCTTACCATCATTCTTATTATCATACGTACCATCATACTCCCTATTATACTTACCATCCTACTTAACATCATACTTACCGTCACACTTACAATCTTATTTACCAACATACTTACCAGTCCACTATAGTTCTTTCTTTCTTTCTTTCTTTCTTTCTTTCTTTCTTTCTTTCTTTCTTTCTTTCTTTCTTTCTTTCTTTCTTTCTTTCTTTCTTTCTTTCTTTCTTTCTTTCTTTCTTTCTTTCTTTCTTTCTTTCTTTCTTTCTTTCTTTCTTTCTTTCTTTCTTTCTTTCTTTCTTTCTTTCTTTCTTTCTTTCTTTCTTTCTTTCTCTCTCTCTTTCTTTCTCTCTTTCTTTCTTTCTTTCTTTCTTTCTTTTCTTTCTTTCTTTCTTTCTTTCTTTCTTTCTTTCTTTCTCTCTTTTCTGGCCAAAGTGTGGTTTTGAGAACATTTTTAAAAAGTCGGAGGTGGGTAATGCACAATCATATTTGTGTCAATATTAGCAAACGGATACAGTATCAAAGATTCCTATTAAAATTGGCGATAGTGTTTACGAGTGAGGGAAATTGCAAGCCTGTCAGGTAGATCACTTTCAAAATAGGGTTAGTCAAAAAGGCCTTTTCTACGATACAAATTCAAAATTCATTCCCCCATAATAGCTTCTTCCTTCGCATCAATAATTCA